CCATGTCATGAGAGGAGCAGCAGGAGTGGGGGATTGACTTAAAGGTTGATCAGCTGTTTGCACGCCACTTGGCGACACTTGGCCCGGGCTGCCAGACAGCTGAGAACACTCTGCTTCTGTCTCCAGCTCGCAGCTTACACAACAGAACGGATCCCAACATTTCAAGGCCAAGGCATGATGTCAGTTATTTCTCAGACGCTAACAAGGTTTCTTTGTCCGCTCATCAATAATTTGTTTAAATGATGTTTTTGTACATGTCAGCTTGTGGCAGACATTGTGCTCTACACTGACAAAAAGCACTGCAGTGTGAGGGGGGGGAAAAATAACTTGTTTAGTTTGCTCATCAAAAGATACCGAAGGCTGAATTCAGTCTTTCTACAATCCTTTTGTGGGGTTTTGCAGTAAAAAAAACAATAAACTGAAAGCAGGAGAATGAACTTTTGCCACTCAGAAGGTCTTCCAGCAGAATAATAAATGTCTTAATTTGCATAGACCACGGCTTCATTTTAGGATGATGAAACGGTTTAACAAAGCAGTCCTGTTTAAATACATCAGTGTTCTTGCTGACTTGATACTGAGTAATAGGTTAATGACGGCCTCTCTTTGAAAGTATAAAGGTCAACAATTTTGCAAACGTTGTGTTACACACGTAATATGCTTTTTTGTAAATGTGTGTCCCAGTTTTCCATGTTGACTCAAAAGAGTTAATGATCTGATAATTATGTAATTATCATTCGTGTTTATATCTATGTTAGTGTCATTATTTGGAGGTGTTTTGAAAGCCTGGAGCCAATAGCTACTTCAGAAACCCTCTCATGAACACAAGTAATGGAGGTGAATAATGTTCCTCTCAGATTTTGTGCCTTTTGTTTATCTATATATGTACAGTGTGATAATGCTCCCCTTCTAGTGCACCCCTTTCTTCTTTGTAAAGGGTGATAAGAAAAACACTGATTTACTAACTATAAGCTGTCTAGCTTCTATTTTCTGCCTGCCCTGCCCACTAATAGGCACCTCTTTCTGTTTGTGAAAAGTCGTGGAGATTAAAGCTGTTTTGCTTGTGCACCAAAAGGAGATGACATTAAAGCCAAATCAATGGCCACGTGTGAAACGAACCGCCTACTGTCAAGTCCCTCGGCATGAATGAGCAAAGTCGAGCAGCAGCAAGCCGCCAGAGGAGCGTTTTAAGCCCCCGAGAAGGGCCACCGTCTGACCGGGCTTCAGGAACGAGGCCACTGGTCTCTCCAGGAAACCAGGACCATAGTGGGCTCGAAGAGGCTTAACCAATGTTTCTTCTGTTACAGCAACAGCTGGAGGAGGAGGCGGCAAAGCCCCATGAGCCCGAGAGGCCCATCTCCCCGCCGCCCAGTGAGGCCAAGCACCGCAGCCTGGTGCAGATCATCTACGATGAGAACAGGGTCAGTGGGAGCCGCGCACACGCTCAAACACTGACATTTGAATCCAGTTACACTTACCAGCCCATGCAGTGCAGCAACCTCAATGCCGCGTTGGTTATTAGGGGGACGCGCACGGCGCCCAGAGAGGAAAATAGATGACCTGACAGGTGTACCTTTTTAAACAAACCCGCCTCTCCGATTGCACCACATACCCAGAGCAAATATAAATAGGTCTTCGATTGGCAAAGTTTGCACAGAACAGAGCGCAACTCTGAGTCCGGAGCCCCGGGTGTAACTATCTTTGCTTTTGATTTATGTGACGTCAAAAGAAAAAAATGCCAAAAACAGTGTCAAAACATATCCACGTCATACCTGAAAATGGTGCCCTCACCCTCAGCCAAAACCAGCACTTACCTAAGAGAGTAAGCTACCAAAGGTCAACATTGCAGGCGTGACGAATCACGCTTTAGACTCTCAAAAACATAAACACCGGAGAAGGCGAGTCACTTTCACTATGACAAACCTGGCCTTTTCTCAAAGTGTTCCATCATGTCTTCAGTAACAAATAACACGGCAGCTATGAGGGCACTTACCACCACCAGGAGGTGTTACGTTGGTCATAGCTGTAACTGGAGGCGGCAGAGGTGTGTGCAGGAGATAAAGCTCTTTGTGGAGTCTGTTATGGAGTGATTCTCAGTGCTCTCAGTCCCCCTAGTGGTACATGTGCCCACCTCATAGCTGGGTTTAACAGAAGTGGGTTTTGTTATCCTCTGATTCACATCACAGCCCTCATTCCTGTTTTCCAACATCTCTTAAGTTCATAAAGCTCTCTGCGGGAGCAAGGAGTTATCTTAAAACATCCCCAGCAAAGGGGGAAAAAGCCTTTCAATAACCACGGATTCAAGGCACATAAAAGTACATCAAGTGAAAGAATAGGTTAAAATAGAAAAGCTAGTGAAGAGTCCAGGCTAAATGGCACTTTTTGCTGAAAGAAGCATAGAAACTGTTGGATAACCGCTGAAGCTCCCACAGAAACCCTGTTAAAATGCACGGCACATGACCCACACAATCCTTTTGAGGAAAGAGCAGGGCACTGGAGTTGGCTCGAGTTAAAGAGTGACTCAAAACTGTATTGTTACCTCTGTAACACTTCCCTCTGACTGACGGGGATGAACTGTGGCCCAGTGCCTCTCTGCTGACTTGATCTGCTTCTTTCCTGGCGACACGCTCCCGTTTACTAAGCCACCGTCTTTCACAAGCACTGTTTAACATTAAGAGTGTGCTCCTCTTTTTTCCTCATATTTATCATGGTCATCCATTCATCCACATTACCCACAATTCCATGTTTAATTATTGAAAAAGGTGCAGCAGGTGAGCATATAGTCGCACGTTATTCGTTGTGCCTCCTTTGTGTAAAGGATGTCTGTACCGCCTTGGGCTGTCCCTCCCGGGCTCGGTGTTGAGTCTTCTGGGTCTGAACGGTAGTGCCGCTGCTCGGTGAGGAGCGCAGAGCAGCGTGCTGCCACCGGGGGGCGTGGTGGAAATAACAGAGCCAGCCTCCCTGCCGGGGCTGTGAGGAGACGGAGGGGCTGCTATTAAAATATTAATCGTCTCTTGTTTATACACACACTTCACAGGGGAAATGTTCTCCCTTCGCATGCGACATCTACCCCTCCCCCACTCATCAGTTAACAATTTGGATTTTCGCGGTCAGAATTGTGCAGTCATGTTTTTAAATGAGCTTAACGTGTCACAGTGAGGAAATGAAGAGAAGTCCCTGCGGCTCTCTTCTCTCTGAGGATGAAAGTCTGCTTTTAATAATTGCCGCTCATTAACTCTTGGTGTAGTGAGCGAGCCCTCTGAGGCAACGCTCCGCAGCCTGTTACAGCAGTCACCGGCGAGGACGCAACACGGAGCTGCGTTTGCATTTAAATGAAACGTACAGCGGCCGCCTGCCGGCGTGCTGCATCAGCCGCCGCTTTTTGTCTTAAGGCTGCACAAAGCTTCTCTTTAAAGTTCCCATTTAGCACCCTCACAGGGGAGTCGGTTGTTGAGTCAAGCTGAGCTGTGTGTATGACCTCGTCTTATATCTCGTGTTTGAATACTCATGTTTATATTTAAGGAGGCATTACACTGACATGGAAGCGGCACCAAGCTCATCCTACATGCCGAGTGCATCAGTCCAGTCCAGCTTCACCGACTTCTGAAGGAAGTGAACTATATAGGAAGCAGCACACCTTGTAGTGTGTCACCACAGAGGGTCCGTTTGATCGATGAAGCGGAGGGAATGCACAGTGGGACGGGAGGGGAGAAAAAGCACGCAGAGCAGAAATCAGGGAAACTTCCTGCACGTTTGGCCTGTGAGGCTGAATTTAAATGCACGTAGCTCCAAAGTTGCCGGCGAGTCATCTGAAGACACAGGCAGGAGTTTTTTTTTTTCAAACAGCAGCGTCTGTCCCGTCTCCCTTCATGTTTCCTGCCATCATTTTCTGCTTCAGCAGACGGGCTGTTCTGGCTGGTAGGGGCGGATATCTGTCTTTTATCTGATGTCTCTTATTCGATAAGCACCTCTTTCTCTTTTCTTTTTTTCCCCTTCACTCTTCTCTCGTACTCACTTTTTACTCCACTCCCACTTGCTTTTCATGTCTGCCTGCTTTTTTCCCTCTCTGCTCAGGGGAGGTGAGTATTTTTTTTTTCCCCCTGTGAGAGAGTAGTGGGAGCTGAGGCAAGGAGCTGTGGCCCAGCTTGAGTTAAAAGCTCTAATAATAGTCAGTGCTTCCATCTCTCCATCCATCCATGTATCCAGCCTTCTAACCATCCATCCAGCAAGCAGCAGCGTAGCCCTGGTGATCAAGTGAGCATGCTCACTGTGTTGCCGTGGTGATGGCAGAGGTGCAGGCAGCCAGCTAATTTTCTACTTCTGTTTGCCATCTCTCTCCAGAAAAAGGCTGAAGAGGCTCATAGGATTCTGGAAGGACTGGGACCCCGAGTAGAACTGGTGAGTAAAAAAACAGGATTTTATTGATTCTGGTTAATTTGTCTCTATATGCACACTTTCAAATAGTACTCAATTCAACAGCTTGCCTTCATCAAACAAATATGTTGTGCCATGGAAGACCAGTTTACTCTTCTTCTGTGGCCCTTTAGAATAGATTGGTTCAAATTACTTGACTCCTATTAATCAAAGTTTTGTATCATTCCTGTTATCTGGTGAGCATCCATTTATGAGGCAAGGCAAGAGCTCTATTTAAAGGGACCTCACTTCTCAGACATTTGTTTAATTTTTTTCTTTCCTTCTGCCATTCCAGCCTCTCTACAACCAACCTTCTGATACCAAACAGTACCATGAGAACATCAAAATGTGAGTCTGGCATTACATTTTGGAACACTTCCTTACATCTTAAGATTTTATTCAGCTGAAAATGTTGTTTTAATAGAAGCTCTCTAGGCCCTATTTGCAATGTATGCTTTTTAAAGTCACATTAATGGATGAGAATGAACTCACATTCATCTGTGACTGGTGGATTTTCTCCCATAGCATTTTCGCTCAGAAATCCCATTTTTTTAATGATTTAGTTGGTAATGAGTTGTGGATATTAGCTCATGTTCTTATTCATCTGAGCAGTAATTAGAATTTTAGTATTTCTATTATTTCTCTTATTTCCATATTTGGTTATTTTCCCTATTACTCATTACTCAGAATTTCCTCTTTTCTCAGCTTGTTTTCGCTCACCTCTGACGGAGAACGAAAACTTGGTGAACTATAATGACAGATGTCAATGTGACCTTGGAGAAAACACTTGCCAGGTCATAATTATTTTGTTCAAGAACTGAGACCTTGAGGAGTGTTTGCAGAAAGAGCATCTCAAAGAGGTTTTTTAGCAGAAATCATCAGCTTTTTAAAGCCATCCCGCTCCCTTTATTGTGTCTGTATTTTTTGTCTTATTATTTATCCTGTAGGACTTTAATACTGAACTTCTCCAACAAAACACATAGGGATTGGAAGTGGGCTGGAAATCCAATCGAAAAAACCCCACCATAAACTGCTTAATTACACCAACAGTTTTGGCTTTTTATACACTTGACCATGTATAGTTTTGAATGTGGAGCAAGGTAAGCTGCTTTTGGGGCAAAACTTGCCCTAAGGCACAATCAGTCAAAGAAATGCTCCATCAGTGTCAGATAGATTTTTCTTTTTTTTGAAGATGCTGAGATGTTGCTAGGATTTTTTAAAAACTATGCCAGGGGTTTGCTGATGACTTTGATAAGCTCTCGATTAGTGTTTTCTGAAACAGTAACCTAAAAAATGGGCTTGATTTCTTCTACCTCAGATGATATACGATATTAACAGCAGCTTTTCCCCAGATTTTAGCGAGGTTAAGGGGTTCACTGATGAAGGATGTTAATCTCGTGTGTTGGTGGATGCCTGCATAAGAAGAGCAGAAGGTGGCTATCAGCAAGGTTCATATGAATTGGTCATTCTCTGGGAATTAGATTCCCAGTCACATCAAAAGGCTGTAGAAGGGTCGTAATTGTTTGCCTCCACTATTGGTCCCACAGCCGGGGTACAGTGGCATACCACAGTATGTGCCTGAGCGATTAGCCGCGCACTGCTGTCTTCACTTCTTTTGATCTCCTCACCGTCTGATCAGTATTATTGCCTCAAAGCAATTAACTGAAATCTGCTCTCGCTCACGCTGTGTGTGTGTGTGTGTGTGTGTGTGTGTGTGTGTGTGTGTCAGTGTCATTAAATACCAGTGTCTCAGTTTGACCGGGCACAATTGGCCTCTTTGTTTTGTTTAGCTGGCTTGATAACTTTGGCGTTCATCCCCGCTGGGATACACGAGTGCCAGTATCTCGGTGCGTCTCTCGGTCCCCGTCTCAGTCCATCTCCCCGCAAACACGCTCAGCATCTGACAAGTGTTCCAATTTCTCCTGCCTCCTCAGAAACGAGGAAAAAATATTCCAGCTATGAAGTCTAGGCTTTTGCTCGCTGAAGTAGTACCGGACACGAACATCTGTCAAAAGCGTGCTCATCAGGAATCTTCCAGCCGTCGTGTTTTTCGGAGCATTATGCCAAATTACAGTGTTCTCCGATATCTCAAAAATGGTGCAGGCTTAGAGCGGAACAAAGGAAACCTTTTGTATGCTTTCAAACTGCTAATCTGTCCTTTTCCATCTGGTGTACGGAGGACAATGCCATCTCTGTTTTTAAACGGCTTACTCTGTCGGCTCTGTTTTTGCCTTTGCGAGTTAGTTCTCACTCATTTCAAAATGTAGGTATTCACACATTGTAATAGGATTCGCTACCGTTTGACTCCTCTGTCTTGTTGGCACAATCAGCACGCATACATATAGATTGTTTGTACACAGTAAAGTTTGGGCTGTATTATAGAGTCTTATCTCATTCAGGGCTTTTCCAGCAGACTCAGCCAGCTTCATAGTTTAGAATCCCCACTTATATCCAGAGGGACAGCTCAGTTTAGGTGTCTAACGTGAAGTGAGACTACATTAATCAGCGGGGAACGTGATCTCACAACTGACAGATTAAGTGTCAGGAATAAAACTCTGTCTTAGGGCAAAGAATGAGACAAACTGAGCGGCTGCCTGTTGAGATTACTGGCCCTGACCTTTATTCGAAGCTCGGTGTCTGGCTCTTCCCAGCACAGACACGTTTTATAAGTTTGGCATCCTTTGCTGTCCATTTCCCCCAGGAGCAGGACTGAGTTTATCAAGCATCAGCACTCACGGACAAGCGTAGTATTTATATAAGCGTGTTAGGTTATTTTGTTTAGACTGTCGGCCACTAAGCGATGGTGGCAAAATGCTGCGGATAGGGATTTTCTACCTTTAGGAATTGGAAAACAGTCTGTATTCGGCTATAAAGTGTCAGAAAAGATCACCAAAGGCAGAGGTATTGTCTGGTAATTGGTGTCTCCTGTAGTGTTTCTTACACTTCTCCTATCTCTGTGTCCATCCTCTTCACTTTCCCCATCTCAGAAACCAGGCGATGAGGAAGAAGCTCATCTTGTATTTCAAAAGGAGAAATCATGCTCGAAAGCAGTGGGTAAGTAGAAGACTACATTTGTGACAGTCTGCAGGGACTCGGCCCATGACAGATGACTAGTGTGAAACTGGGCCAGCTGCTCCATAAAGTGAGAGGCCATTTTAAGCACACTAAGAAGGAAAAGAGCCCTGGGCACGATCAGTAGTCTGCGCTCGCAATGTGCTCAAGGGAAGCGATAGTCGTTGTTCAACAAACAAGACTCTTCTTGTACTCCAGATCTGAGCAAATAATTTTGTGTCTGTTAAACTCACCGTAAGCGACTGTAAATCATGTGTGCGTGCGTGTTGTGGGGTACAGTCTACTCCTCACTGTTAGGAAGGAGGCTCCATAGTGAGAGACGCTGCTTTGTGAGGCCAAGCGAGGGCTAACGGGCCGCTTTACCGCCCGCCTGAGTGTTGGCCACACCTTAGAGACCAGAAGTTAACCAGGACGAATAAATGTTTAGCTGTTTAACTTGTTTCAACGCGTCGTCCCACGAGAAACGCTCCTCCGAGTGCAGCTGAGACTCATGCGCGAGGGTCTCTGTGCTCCCTCAGGAGCAGAAGTTTTGCCAGCGCTACGACCAGCTGATGGAGGCCTGGGAGAAGAAGGTGGAGCGCATCGAGAACAACCCGCGGCGCCGAGCCAAGGAGAGCAAGGTGCGCGAGTACTACGAGAAGCAGTTCCCGGAGATCCGCAAGCAGAGAGAGCTTCAGGAGCGAATGCAGAGGTGCGGAGGCCGGTCGATTCCTTCTGTCTGAGTCCTGCGGCCGGACAGCGTGTGTAACACTCATTTTCCCCCTCTGCAGCCGCGTCGGCCAGCGGGGAGGAGGACTGGCCTCGTCTGCAGCCCGCAGCGAACACGAGGTGTCCGAAATCATAGACGGAATATCGGAGCACGAGGTGAGCTCTTTGAGACCAGAGCGGTCCGCTTCCTTGGCAACGGTCTGTTTGCCCCGAAAGATTTAATCAAACATCTAAATACAAAGCAACCTCTTCTGTCAAGGATGGTTAGTCTCTCCCGTCTTGTCCCCCAATAACTCATTTGCTCAGTTCACACTATCCTCCCTATGCAGCTGAAGTGCACAGAAGTTTGGATGGTGATCAGTTCACCTAATTCCCATTATGCTGCAATAGGTCATAATAATTTGCTCAGAGTAATCTGAATCCTATCCAAGGTGTGAAGGATGCCAATTTGATTTCCATTATGAAAACAAATCATCTCACACACAGGTGACAGCAGCGCTGCTCAGATGTCATAAGTATAAGGACGGTTTAACCTATAGCACAGATACCCTGCCGGTTGTAGTAAACAAAGCAAAATATCATCCTTTAAGCACAGCTGTTCTGTGCTGGAAGCCTTCCAAAATGTCATTAAGCTTTTTCCAGTCATCACATCTTTTATGGTTGGTGTTTGTGTTGTTGTGAATATGAATATGCAATTTGTTGAAACTAGATCATTTAGCAAAGAATGTAAAGTCAAAGTCATTACGGGACCCACCCCCCCCCCATCTCTTAAATTTGTTTAGTAATTTATTAAATTAAAACTTGTAAAAAAAAATTGTTACAAAATTTTCAATTCCCTTTTCAAATATTGGATAACACTGAGTTTGAGAATTGAGAACAACTTGTACCTCTTTTGTTCTTTAAAGGGTTCACATTGAGCTAGTTTTCGGGCTTTTTAGACTAGGTGCACAAAACTCCTGGTTTTTCTGAGCTCCTGAAGTGGGTTATTGCAGCAGTAGCTACTAAACGGTACATGTTTGTATCACCACGGATTGGTTCTCTTCAGAGTCCAATCCGGGTGGTTCGTTTGTCTGATCTCTCTGCGTATGTCTGCGTATCAGAACACAGAAAAGCAGATGCGGCAGCTGGCCGTCATCCCTCCGATGCTGTTTGACGCCGAGCAGCAACGCATCAAGTTCATCAACATGAACGGCTTGATGGATGACCCCATGAAGGTGTACAAGGACCGGCAAGTTATGAACATGTGGAGCGAGCAGGAGAAGGACACTTTCAGAGAGAAGTAAGAAAACCACTGAAAGGGGACATCAATATAGATTTCTTTCTTTTTGAGTTTCTTTTCTATTTGATTAGTTTTCGGCTCCATAAAAAGTTGCTCCGACAAAGCTTTGGTCAGTTAATTTTTTTAACAACAAATTAAATATGTTTCCGCCCTTAGACATGTGTTTAATAGGGGAAGGGTCAGCGAGTTTAAGGCGAGGAAGTGAATCTTCCTCTTTCATGAGAACTGAGAGAGGGTGTTTAGAGCTGCAAATCTTATTAAAGCCACACAGCAACACTGGTGACTTTAGGGTTTACCTGCGTGCAAAGACATTATTAGATTAGAGCCCTCTAGAACAAGTTAGTAGAAACACAGGGGTCATAAGCATTGAAAAGATAGATGTGGATTACTAAAGCCAACAACGCCTTGTCCTCTGACCCTGTTTTAAGCCTCTCTGCAAATGTCAGTGATCAGCTTTGTTTTGTTCCCAAAGGTTCATCCAGCATCCCAAAAACTTTGGTCTGATCGCATCTTTTCTGGAGAGAAAGGTATTGCATTGTGTAACATTTTCTTTATTTATATCTCGTCTCTTTTTTAGTGACTTTGGGTTTCCGGGAAGTTCAAAGTAACATTTCTTTCACGTTTCAGACGGTGGCAGATTGCGTGCTCTTTTACTACCTGACCAAAAAGAACGAAAATTACAAGAACATAGTGCGAAGGAACTACAGACGCAGAGGAAGAAGCCAGGTATTCTCACCTGTTTTTTTTAAGCTGCTGAGCCAAACGGAGTAAGTTAATTAACCCAAAAGCAACTCTGTTCCTAAAACGTTTTGGCAGGAGTCATAATTACAAACTTCGAGCTCAAAAGCAACCTGAAACGTGGGCTTTCCTTCTCTGGAGACGGCTGTTTAAATGGCCAGCTGCAGCCTCTGCTCTGCTATCCCGCACCTAACAGCTCACTTCTGCGTGTCGACTGTGGGAGCACACGGTGCTCGGTGGCTGTGTGACAAATACTAGCATGCTTTATCTGTTCCCCAAATGCACAACATGATCTCAGCTCTTTGAAATCTACCACAAATGGGACGTTTCTTCAGGTGACGATAGCCACAAACGGCCATGATTAGCTGCATTCTCCTCTGTCGACGTCTCTTGAGAGCTTTAAGATCTCCTGAGCAATCAAAATATGCCAAAAGTTACTCAGTTTGTCGTGTGACTTGTCTGGATTTGTCTTCACCTCAAAGAGCAGATTGGTTTGTATACATGTTATTTCTGCTGCTATTCGGTCTCCTCACATTAGGCGCTAGTACTTTCACATTGTGGTCGGCTTTATTGAGCCGGCATCTTAATTCCCTGCTAACTTTTTTCCTGTGGTTATGAAGAAGGGTGCTGAACGTCTGCTGATTGTTTTAGCTTGGTCCACATCTCGTAGCTTCATATTAGCTCAGAATGATACCAGCTCTACACAGGGCGATGGTTGCAAACGGCAGAGAAGTTTAGGTTTGTTAGTTTCCAGCTCCATTAACCAGTCTTTACATAGGCCTGTAGCTTAATTTTTGAGACACACTGATGCTTAGCTCTAAGATTATTTGGCTTTTTTTTTTCTGTGCATGGACGACGCATGAGATGGGAAAAACTGTGTGACCTGCATTTGCTTTTTTGAGTTCTTCTCCCTGTGAGGACATTAATAATTTCAAGGGAAGACAAAGGACATTAGTGTCACTATGGCAATGAAGGAAAAGATAACTTGCGTGTAAAAGTGCTTTTTGATTCCTCCTCTGTCCCTGCTATCTTTGGCTATTTGTGTTGTATCTTTTTGAACAAAAAAATGTTTTAAACAGATATGTAATAGGGTAAGTTTATTTCTTAAAGTAACAAGCATGTAAATATTGAATAGAGACAAAGAAGGCAGTGTGGTTGCTAGATGAAGATCTGCTTGATCATTATTAAACCGTGTTTAGGGTTTTTTGGTCTGGCTGCGTGTAAGTTCTAGTCGAAACTCTAACCCTTAAAGCCCAGACAGGCAGGAAGCTGGTGAGGAAGTGGTTCTAGGTGCAGATGTCATACAGCAGAAATGCATTGCTGTAATTTCGGAACTCTCACATCCTGTTTTGTTTCTGTTGAAAATGAGTAGGATTTTTCTGGTCAGTATGTGTTCTGGGTCTGAAGCAAGTGAAACTAAAATTGTAAAGGTAACAAAGAGAACCTATATATTTTTTTGTCAATTTTTTTTTTTACATTTCCTTGCCTTTGACCTCGGTGCAGGAGATCAGATCAGCCCATGAAAGAGAAAACTGTGACTGTTAGCCACTGACATGACCCAAGGTGCTCTATTCACACAGCTCATTTTTCATACTGATCTAATGACTTGAAACCGCTCTTATTTAGTCACTCACAGCTGCTGAATTGTGTGTGTATGTGCGCGTGTGTGTCAAAAGGTGAACAATTCACCCAAAGGTTTTTTTTTTCGCTCCGTGGCAGAGACTGGGGGTTATCTCTGACGACATGCCTCGCTGTTCCCGTCTGTTTTCTCTCAGCATGGCCAGCAGCAGCAGCAGCAGCAGCAGCAAGTAAGCCGAAGCAGCCAGGAGGACAAGGAGAAGGAGGAGAAGGAGAAGGACGGGGAACGGGAGGAGGAGAAAAATGAAGCCGAAGACAAGGAAGATGGGATGAAGTGAGTGACCGCTCAATTCTGACTGAACCCTCACATCTTCAGCTCGTTTTAATTCGGCGGGTCCAAACTCGGTGCCCTGCAGAGACGGTGCATTAGGAAAAAGGCACAGGAGCGGAATGGGAGGAAAAGCAAGTGAAGGGCTTTGCAGCGCTTCACAAGTTGCCCGAGCTTGTGCAACTGAAGTATGTTTTCCCAACTCATTCCATTTCTCCAAGTCACCATTTGGTCATAATTCAAATGGGGGAGTGGCTCCGGTTTGGCTAAAGGGAGTGTGGATCCTGAACTCCGATCATTACTCCCTGACCTCTAGCCTGCCTGCCCTCCTCTAGATAAGTCTGCTAACCTTTTGTTTTACCTCTCACCGCCGCGGTGCCTCGCCAGCGGGACGCAACGTCTAATTCTTGTTTTTTTAGTCTGTGTTGTTTCCTCATGGAAAATGAGCAGTGTCATTCACTAAGCCGCCGAGTGGAAACTCCGGTGTGCAAAAGAGGATATGTGCGGATGGAGAGGAGAGCGTGGATTGAGGGCTTTGGGCTGGTGGGTGGGTGGGTGTGGGGGTTAAAGAGCAGCAGATTGATTATGACGGCTTATGTGGCTTGAATAAGGATAAATAGACTGTCCGCATTCAGGAACTTTATCACAGCTGAGGCGATGCGCTTTGGTTATTTCGGGCAGGTGATATTTATAAGCAGTTGGCTGGGAACAGATGAGAGTGATGGTGATGATGATGAACCGTTGTCTGCTGCCTTCATGCTCCGAGGCAAAGCCTGGGGACTCTGTGACTTGGAGCACACGCTGCTGCCTGCCTGTCACCCCTGGCACAGCTGGCTCACCTATATTTAGAATGCCACCAGCCTCCCCTCAGCAAGATTAATGGAGTCAGAGGAAGATGAATGGAGGAGCACAGGGTTCACGCTCAGTGGCTATCTGCTGGCATGCCATTGTGCTGACACCTGATAAATAACCCGAAAAATAAAAGGAATGCAAAAAGCAGCGTCTGCAGACGGTACACGTCCAATTTTTATTTATTTATAAAAAATAAAAAAAAATCCAATTCCGTCCTATGCTGCAGGACTGTATCGCCTGTTCCCAATCTCTGCCTGGAGCCAAAGCAGAGGAGAAAACGGCATTTAGAGCGTGGTAGTTAATGGTTTAAGATAAATGTAATTCAAAATTTAGTATAGTAGCTCATGTGTTTTATCTTAAAGTGTTTTATTGATATATTTCACCGGTGGGATCACTCCACGCTCGTCAGATTGTCTTTACTTGATATTAAATATATTGTGATCTGATTTTGAATGTTGTCCCAGAGTATACAGCCTGCAGATGTTTCTGTGCTTAAGGCTTTTATGTCTCTGTGGCTGGAAACATTTGAGCCGAGTGTTCATCCAGTCGTCTGTTCCATTCTAGTACGTGTGATCTCAGAAACACCTGGAGAATGTTTTCTTCACATTTGGCACAAACGTTTCTGTACGCTTGAGGATGAGTTCAGTTGATTTTAGTTGTCAAAGGTCATGGGCTACGTTATCCTCAATAAATCATGATAGTTGTCAGTGGCTGTTTGAATTCTAAGCCCGAAGCAGCTTTTTAGGCGGTTATCTGATTAAATGAAAGAATGCTGGAAGACATTTTGCTGATCAGTCTGGGTGTTTGCTATTAGAATATGGCTGTGAGTGTGTAGATTTTTCATGAAACATTGAATGTTTTTTGTTTCTCTACAGCCCTCCGTATATTCATCTCATTAGCTATTTCTTAACTAAATGTGTCTGTTTACTCTCGGTGTCATAGGCATCTGTTGCTTATGTCTCTTTACAAAACTCTCAATATGCATTCTGCACTTTAGAGGTTGCTCAGTCAGGTGAGACAGTTTAGTTTGTTTTAAGGCCAGGTTATGTGACATGTCATATAATATGATGTATTATTTGGGTTTTGCTCCAGAATTAAATCTGTCATCGGTAGCTTTCAGTGGTAGCTGTCTTTGAAGCTTGGAGTCCTGGTAGTGAAACACCCCTTGTGAAACTCTCAAAAATGTGACCCGTTTAGTTTCTTCTTTTTTTTTTTTTTTTGCCTGACTGTGTTAACATTTCTCCTCGCAGGGATGATACCTCTGGAGAAGATGCAGAGGACAAAGAGCCCGCTGTAACCGTCAAGGGACGACGCACAGCCAATAGCCAGGGCCGCCGCAAAGGGCGCATTACCCGCTCTATGACCAGTGAAGTGGAGGAGACCTCTGCGCCACCACTCAGCAATGAGCTCGGTCAGTCTTATTCCTGGATGTGTAATTCCAACTAAATGCTGAGGAGCAAGATTTATAAAAAAGGATTCATTTTCCCTTCTGCTTCTGTCTGCATTTAAGAGATGTGGAAGGCGAACAACTCTTCATTGCTAAAATATTTCATCAGCATTTTGCAGAACTGAGTTTTGTCACCTTTGATCCAGTTTGGTCGTCTTGTCCAACACCACAAGAGAGCACTGTTGTTCTTCTGTCTCACTCTTTTTTTTTTTCAACTCTAGCGTGGTACTCTATGCTCTATGCTAAAGTGACACACGTTCACGTCACAAGAACTGGCCGTGTGTCGGTTCAAACTTCAGTAGCTGTTGTTCATCGTCAGAACCTTATTGGCTAAAAGCAGAAGTATTTTTTTAAGGACAACATGTCCTGTATCAGCAGTGCCCGTCTGCTCAGTTTCTTTTCCCTCTGATGGTAAGTCAGGCGCTTATACGCCAACACTTTAGCTCCGGGGCCCGTGTGGGTTTCTGATGTTTCAGCGGTCGTGTGTAGGTGCCGCAGTCGTTCCTGCGGCACAGGTTTAGTCACAGGGAATCCCCAGGTGACTGGGGCTGGGGGGGGCTCTCAGTCACAGGCCCCACCCCTGCCACTGGTTCTGCTGCGGGCAGCACTGCTAACGGCCCGCCCTGCCCTTCACAGGTCCAGCACAGGACACAAAAGTGCAGGCTTTAGCGGCTGTCTGCCACACAGGGACAGCCTGGCTTTATGGCCTGCGCAGGGAAAGAAGCCAGTTGTTATGTCTGTAATCATTAACTGACTTCTCTCCTTGGATTTCCTGCTTCCTCCATCTAAAACAAACGGTCCCCAGCGGCCCACGCTGCAGCGTTTCACTGGCAAGCGCCACAAAACTACCCTGCCCCCTCCCCCTTATTCTTTTTCTTTTTTTCTGTCTCTCTTTGCTTTCCTTCTGTCAGTCACTCCCCAACTGACTTTGTAACAACTGCCCACTCCCTCCTCCGCCCGCCCTCTAACTTTGTGGTTCACTTTTCTTTTTTTTTTTTGACAGCCAATCTGGAGATGAGCGAGAGCTCTCGCTGGACAGAAGAAGAGATGGAAACTGCCAAAAAGGGTAATTCAGAGTCGACTTTTTCTTATTCTCGTCAATGTTGATTATTGGTTTTAATGTGCGCTCTGATCCAGTGGTTAAGCTGATCACCGTTAGCAGTTTTAGCCCGCTTTGAAAGCACACACCAGTGATGCGGTTGTGACTTCCTGTCAGTGAGGCAGTCGCTGCCACGTGCTGCAAGGATGTGTCTTTATGCATCACTCTGCCTGGATGGGTTTGTTGCGCTTTGGAGCGGTTTTCCGGCCTCTTTGGGTCAAGGCTGTCTGCGTTTTATCAAAGAGGCTGTAAAGTCTGTCCCTTATCAGCTGGCCTCTGCAAGTGCAGCAGTCATTAAACTGGGGTTGTTTGTCACTGAGTGAAGATTACCCAGAGGCCTGTGGCTCATTCGCAGGGGTCACTGACATTGTGCCCGTTTCCCTAGCACCAGCTATCTGTGTGTTTTCATGCATGTAGTGTGTGAGCGCCAGTTACTGATTGAAGGGAGCTCCCCATACTCAGTGATATCTGCCACACACGGCGCGTTACAGGGAGTTTTTCAGTCTCTTGTTACTCCAGATTGATGGCCAGATTAGCTTCCCATCAGAGTTAGTATCTAAGGAAATGATGGATGCCTCAGTGAGTAATGTTTATTTTGAATGTCGATCCCACTGCATTGCCAGGCTGGGCTGTAAAATGACTGCGTCCTTTGTTAGATTTTTTTTTTTTTTTAGCACACATTTCCTGCATGGTGACATTTGTATGCATTTCGCCTTATGTGAGGTGTGAGTTTTCTTTTGTTTTTGTTTTATATGTCTACTAGTAATTGGCAACAAGTGAAATGCCTTTGGCGAGCATCTGTCTGCTACACATTAGTGATGTTGAAACCACATTAACACCTGGAGTTCGCATCTGCTTTACAACATTTCCAGCAAAATAGCGTTTGTGTGAACGGGGCAGTCTTGTGCGATTGGAGGTTATTTTGCGATAACTTCTGCTTGCCTTTGCTTGAACATGGCCCTGTGTAGTAATCCCGGTTAATGTCTTCAGTTCCATTCTCCTGCCGTGGGATTAGCGGGCCACTCCATCCCAGAGGATTAGCCTGGCAGCTCAGCAGAAGCAGGGCTTCTATGGGGGGGGGCTTATGTAACCACAAACACAGAATTCCAGCCACTGTACAGTGGGGCCGAAGAGGAGGAGCTTCTCTTAACATTTATCATGAGTTCTAACAAAGACACACCCTCTCGCCCGTCTGAAAGGATTCCCTATCCCGAAGTTCTCCAGCATCATAACCCATTTTCCCACTTCATCAGTGGGGCCTGTCGGGGCGCTGTCCTTGGCAGGTGATTGACGCGCGTATGTTTTAAGAAGGCTTAGACGTCCTGTTACAAAATGAGTTTATTTCCCTGAGCTAGACAGATCGGAATAAGGCCTTTACAGCAGCATTTATTGGCAGTACAATGGCACTCGGGCATCTTCCTGCCAGCCAGTTTTGTATTCCTGGACCACACGGTCACAGCACTCGTAAAGACTGGGACTTCAGACAGCAGATGACTGGGCTCTGAAACGCTTCTGTATTAAATCCATGAACACTGCCTGTGTGCGTGTGTGTGTGTGCATGCACGCGCGCCTGCTTGTGCGCGTGTGTGTGCCCCTGGCTGCAACATGCAGCACGGGTTGTGTGTGAGTGTGCGCGCGCATGCATACTTGGTCCATTCTGTGTTCGGTTGCCTGTGCAATAGACTTGGCTGGGGTTTATGTAAGTGCACTAATCTGCCAGACTTTGCTTGGGTGCGGGCAGGCAGCTGGATAATGGTCTGTACGCCGCTTGCAAGAGGAGCGCGCTTTAAGCAGCAGCAGGTAGAGAACAGCACATTATCGTTTCGGTCCCTCTCCTCGGCTGTTGCTGTGTTTCCCGTGCTCTCGTTTGGAAGATGGCAGCAGCCCAGATTGGCAAGAGTGGTGGAAGATTTGGCAAATACCTCTTTTCCCTAGTCGTTTTCCCTCTCCCCCTCAACTCTGTTGTTAGAAACTGTAGAGGTCACATTCAAGATGAAAAGCAGGTCAGTCAGGGAAAATGTGAAAGCCTTTATGCCTTCTCATGGTATCAACATCAAGCCCCTTTCTTCCCCACTCTCCTTTGCCTGTGCTTACTCTCCACTTCTGTATCCTTTCCCTTTCTCCATTGTCTCTGTGGCTCAGTGGTTCTGCTCCCTCTCAATCTCTTTCCTCTTTCTAGCTGCTCTCTGTTTACTCTTGGACTGCCTGAATGTGTGTTTGTGTCTGTGTGCTGGAGTATTAACAAGAGACAGAGAGAGAGAGAGGGAGAGGGAGAGAGAGAGAGAGAGGGTTTGAGTCAGTTTGTACTCATTCATGCATCTGTGTGTGCGTGCGTGCCTCTGTGCCTGCTGGCAGAGTGCGGTAGGGGGAGGGACAGACCGACGGAAAGAGGGAGGGAGGGAAAAAAAGAGAGATAGAGGAGAGATCAGATGAGGGGAGAGAAAGGCTGAGCACATAGCGCCGCCCCACAGTCCCACTTTCCTGTGGAAGTCTTCCCAGACGACCGCCATTGGGGAGAGACAAGGCAGAGAAGAAGGGCCCGGCGCTCACCGAAGCGCAGGGAGGGACACGGCAACCAAGAGGAGGGGAGAGGCCAGGAGCATGTTCTGCTTTGGAGCATGTCAACCTGACACCGGCTCAAGTATCAAGCCAGCTGGCAGGAAGAGCGCGGAGAGCGAGCTGTTTTCATCTCCCCTGCTCTGGATCGGAAGGCCCAGCCCAGAAGAGCTTCCCGGCCGGCCCTCTGGAGATCAGAGCGTGTGATAGCGTTCCACAAAGCAAGGCCACGACACCACGGCCACAGCGACAGGCATGTGACAAGAACAACAACTTTCTCGCTGCTCCAGGTGTTGATTGGACTTTCTCTGGGAGGAGCTAAATGGAATACAGTGTGCTGATTGGTCGTGAGGCCACCACCTGTTTCAGTAATGCTTCTGCTCATTGGATATTTGTTCCATGCGTGTTGCTCCAGCAACTCGGGCACGAGTCGACCAGAGCTGCTGGGGATTGTGCGATTGTGTTTGACGGAAGAAACTGTGTGCGGCTAAGTGTCATAACAAAGTGACCTTTGGCTCTCTCCGTAAAGAAGCATGCTTCTAAGTATCGGCCTCCCTGCATGCAGCACCTAGTCCGTCTTGTCACTTCGTCTTCCAGTTCACGCGTGCGTGCGTTTGCGTGCGCCCTGACTTGTAGGGCAGTGAATAACCCCATCCACATTTCGAAATGGCTGAAAAAGGTTAATGGATGTTGGTCATGTGTCAAAGTGCTCTTTGAGTGAGGCAGAACAACAGGTCTTCTCCTGATTTCCTGGAGAGGCTTTTCTGGCTACTGGCATTGGTTTCTATTTGAGTATTTGTCGATGTGCAGCAGCTTTTAGAAGTTAGATGCTGCGAGTTTCGGTGTGCCTACGGTACCACCATTATTCTGGGCAACATAATTATACATTAGGACTTTAAGAAACCGCATAACAGCCAATATTAGAAGCCTTCCTGTTTTTGCTAGTTGATGCAGTTTTGTCGGTACTTTTTCTCTCATATCGAAAGATGCGGGTGACAGATGTTGTTTTACTTCTGTTAGAGCAGTCATAATTACAAAAGAGCAACAGATGGATTGAACTTGAACCGATTCTGTGCAGACAGTTTTATAGATAGTTTATCATATTTGGCTGACATCTTTATGTGTCTCTATCTTTATTATGAGTATCCTTGAACACATAAATAATAAAAGGAGCTCGTTTGAATTATGCCCTGCAAGTGAAAGTTGGGAACAACAATCCCACCGGTGTTGCCTGCAGTTGTAAGCGGTGGTCCTCTCTCTGACTTATTCCTTCAGCTTCAGCCTTTGGGATTGAAATGAGAGCTGAAGCGACAGGGTTGTAAACAGCTGTCCTTCCCTCTCCTGCGTCTCGGAGCTCGTCTTGTCCTTCCACCTCAATTAAGCGATGAGATGCAGAGACCTCTGAACCCATGTCCAAGGTTATCTCAAGACGCTGTTGGCTCTGTGCCTGTTAATAGCGACCACACCACCCCCCCCACCCCCCACCCCCCAGTAGCCTTTCAAGAGGCTGTCATGTTGCCAGGACCTGTCAGGCTGGCACAGGAAACAAGTGGGTGGTGTAAGCTAAGCCTCTTACAACACACACCGTTAATGAGCCGCCTTTAGCTTACAGCAAGCCCCGGGAGGAGGGAGGGGGGGTGGGGGGGGGGGGGGGGCGGTAGCAAATTCGACACGGTCTGTGCCGTCCGCTCGTACTTGCATAGCGACTGCTCCAAACATCCCGGGCTTACGCTCTGTTATTGTGCGTGCGCTTTCGGTGTGTCATGAAAGCTTGATGCATGGCAGCTCTGACCCAGCGTGCGCCCGTAGACTCTTGTGTAAGACCCAATCATGTGCTTGACTGGGTAAAGGACCAGGGTTTCCTAGAACTGGGTCACATCAAAGTCAGTTAGAATATGACACAGTGACCCAAGTGGGGGGTGGGGGTGGGTGATGTCATTGTTACGAGTGATGGTTCACCTACCACATTACCACTTGCTTCTGTTTTACCTGTCATTCTTTTCTGTAGTTGCCTTCTGGAAATGTCTGTATTGCTGTGTATTTCACGGCTGTTAGGAGATGTTCTGGCCACAATTTGGAGAATGTGGCCACAGATAGTCGTTGGCGATTGTGTCAGCGGTTTATAAAGTCAAAACTTTTCACAGGAAGTTCATTTTGTTTGATTGCATTGAGATTTTCAGATCAAACGAGACTATCAGGTTAACAAAAGCAGTAGCCGTGTCCTTTTTTAATTGGATTTCCACCTGTTTGATTCCAGGCCTTCTCCAGTATGGTAGGAATTGGTCCGCCATCGCCAAAATGGTGGGTTCAAAAACCGTGTCACAGTGCAAAAACTTCTACTTCAACTACAAGAAGAGGCAGAAACTGGATGAGATTCTGCAACAGCATAAAATGAAATCAGTGAGTCAAAGGGAAAAGTTGCTTGGCCATGCTGGCTTTGCAAAACACCTGAACCTGTGTGCTTTTTCTGCACCATCATGCTGGTCATCATTTATACAGAATATGAAGACCTTTTTTGTTTTTAAGAGTTGTGTGTTTTTACCAAGGAGAAGGAGCGCAAGGCCCGGCGAAGGGGCAGAGCCTCACAGAATGAAGGGGCCAGTGCCACTCATGCTGCAGAGGAGGAGGAGATGGAGGGGTCAGGAGCCAGCTGCAATGAGGAGGAAGCCCCTGAGGATGGAGAAGGTAAACCAGTTAACCTGCATTTATCAGTAAAAAAAGTAATGCAGCTTTCTCCTCCAGGTGTTGTGTAACTGCCCACTAAGAGTGAACCAGACCTTTTTAATTACGCCATTTATTTCCTGTTTCTTTGGCTGATTTTTGTCGATTCTCACATAATGTGACCCAAATAGTTTAATTTAGTCCTTCAGTAGCTTTTGACATTTTGGCTTATTGGAAGCAGGCCTCTGACCAACTGGAAGTATGATGCAATTCATTAGAAATGAAAAGAAGAATCTGTTTTCCACAATTGTGACTTGCATAATGCAGTCATAACCCTTCTCTCTGTTGACTACAAGAATATCATGTAAAGGTCTGTGGATGAACTGAGCCTTTCCCAGCTTGCAGAGGGCCCGAAGCACATTGAACTGTGGTGAGGTCGACAGCCCATCACATGCTTGACAAAGTGACGCACGGCCATTCAGAGCCCCAGAACAAACTTGATGTAAAGTGACAGTTAAGCTATGTCATGTCTGGTAGCACTGATTAGCAAAGCTTGCTGGTAAGCGGAGTTTAACTGAAAAACTCTTTGAAGTTGCTCTCTCAAATAGAAAAGTGTCCTGAGATCTCCTCTACGAGTTGTTTGTAGACGTAAACAGTGGAAACCGCTCTTCCACAGTGGACAGCAGAATCCCCGGGGGATTTCATCCATCACCCAATTGGTTTTATACTCCCCCTTATTGTTGGGTGAAACCTGATTAGTCAGTAGACTGGCACTGTGCAGAATCTGGTCTAGCAGATGGAGATTGGGGGAAAAGATGGGTAAAAAAAAAAGGCAATGGGACATAACATGATTTACAGTATAAACCCTAATCTGCCTTTTTTTTCTGGCCCTGCCAGGTGGAACCAACAACAGCTCGGACACGGAGAGCTTACCCTCGCCACACTCATCTGAGGACAGCAAAGCTAAAGAAGAGGGCTTGAGCAAGTCAAAGGGCGGCTCCAACCCTGGGGAGAAGGAGGAGCCCCGGTCAGATATGGGCCAGGCTGGAGATGAGAAGCCTCCAGTGAAGGAGGATGCAGACTCTGCCATCAAGCAGGAGATTAAGACCGAAGCAGGAGAGCCCAATAAGGAGCAGCAGCCAGTGCCTCCCAATGAAACCACAGATAAAAAGCCTCCCACAGCGGAGGCAGAAGATGTCAAAAACACATCCAAGAGCTCCAAGAAGGAGCATGCCGGCAAAACGGGCTCGCATGGGGACAGTGACTCTAGTGCCACATGCAGCGCAGATGAGGTGGAGGAGACAGACCACACAGATAAGAACAGGTGAGGATTTCTATTGGCTTTAGTGGAAATCTAATCTTTTTTTCTTCTTAAAAAAAAAGAAAAAGATTATCCTTTTTAAAAGACTGATTTTGAATGCCTGTAAATCTTTTTATTTAATCTCTCAGCTGTTAACAGCAGACATCTGATTGATTATTTATTTCAGAGGGATTCTGCAGGTTTTTGAGTTTCTTACTGGCTGTCCTACTTTTCTGGTCTACCAGATCAGACATTAGAAAACCAAGCAGCGAGGGGTTTTGAAGTGGTATTAGTTGCCTAGCTACACTGTACAGCAGTCAAGCCATATTTGGCAAGCCACTTGTGTGTATGCCACAGGTTGCTCTTTTCTTCAAACTATGATTCTTATTTGTTCTTAGCATGAATGAAAATACATATTTACCTTTTACTTATGTTGCCTGTGTTCGGAAACGAGGCCAGAAGGAATGGGTGTCAGAGTGCGTGGGAGGGGTGATTAGTTCTGTTACCACAGTGTTTGTTAATTTTTTTTATTTTTTTTTTTCCATGACAGCAGATTGCATGTACTGGCAGAGCTGAGGGAAATGTTGCCCTCTCTGCCAAAGCAAACAATGGAAAAGAGGGAGTGTGTGTGTCTGTAAATTGTCTGAGAACTGTGTGTTTGGTCGAATTATTTCGGCAGATGTGCTTTACATCGATAGGGTTGGGGGTTTTTTGTGTGTTTTTTTTTTTTTTTTTTCCCACTGTGAGATCCTAACTGCAAGGACACACCCATCATTTAAATACTGAGCAATTCTAATGTGCAGCATTTCCTGAATTAGGTATTAAAACAAGATCATCTTTCCTTTATAATTGTGCTTTAATGTAGAGTTTTGTTGTGCCACAGTGACCCGTAGGGGTCACCATAAAGAATCCACATAAGGATGCACATAAAGAACTGAAGAAGCCTTTCAAATGAGAGTTCAACCCTTTCACGGCGTCCTCCAGCTGCCTTTACTCATTACATCCAGTGATCTGTTTGCTTTAAATATGGGCGTTCTAACCCATGATTCACTTTGCTGTATTATGTCCATTACTGGGACTACTGTGTAGGTTGTTAAAATGAACTGACTGGTGTTAACTCAACTGGGAGTCATGTCCGGTAGTTTCCTTGGATGAGGGAGGGGAAAAAAAAAAAAATCTTCTTTGATATGACACTTCAGAATGCCTGAATTCATGTGTCACGGGCACGTTTGGGATGTGGGTTGGATGCTCGAGGGCCCACCTTCCCCATCCAACAGGTTGCAGCAGAGTATGCTCCCGATTAGTCACAGTGGAGATAGTAGGTTGTTAGTCATGCGGGCTTCGAACAGGCGGGATTTTACCAATCGATGTTTGCTGTGACAAAAACTGTTTGTGGACATTACAAATCTTAACTTGCGTCATCAGTGTCTAAAAACAGGAACTGGTGGACCCTGTGTGCATGTTCTGTGCTTTCCATAACATTCTTCTGTCTGTATGGTTGTAGAATTACTTCTCCCCGGCCAAGCCTGCTGAACTACACTCACGATGGGGTCATATCCTCCCCGCTGCAGAAGCCCATGGACCTGAAGCAGCTCAAACAGAGGGCTGCCGCCATACCGCCTATTGTGAGTTGCTGTGGAGTTTTTCCTCCTCTGGTTCTGTTTATAAATAGTAGTTCTGCAGGGTTAAGAACATCTCAGGCCCTTTTCCGCTCGGCCGCAGGTTTGTAACCTACAAAGGCTCCCCCAAATGTTCCCATCACGAGTAGCCAGTTTTATCTCCCCGTCTCTTTGCTTACAGAGATTATAGTAGAGCAGATGAATCGAGAAGTTATGTTCGGTGAAGATAAGACAACCAGATGGAGGAGATTGGGATGGATTTCTTTGTGGAAAAGAAATGAGACGCTGGGCATTAGTGAAACTTTAGCCCAACCATGAAAGAAGAGATGTGTTTCTGCTATCACGTTGATCAGATACAGTATGGTTAGCGACTAACCATATGTCAGCGATGGGTAGGAGTGGGCTTGCATTGTGTGTTTGCATGTATGCAGCCCTGTCATTTGTCTGTCGTCCTGTGTGCAGATGTCCGAGGCCCCCGTGCCGGGCGGTCAGCGCAGTGGGAGTGGAAAGGCACCTCTGCACCCCCATGCCCTGGCGCTGTACCAGCAGCAGATCACCATGGCCCATGGGGAGTCCTCTCAGGAGGTCAAACAGCAGCAGCAGCAGCTCTCAGGCCAGCCAGGCAAACAGCAGTCTTACAACCCTCAGCCAGACAGAGACCGGGAGGCTCTTCAAAGCAGCAGTCCTCGCATTCGGCCCCGCAGCCCGTCCACCAGCGAGAAAGATGGTAAGCACCTCCAGCGGGGCACAAAACTGTCAGCTGCTTAAGCCTGAAAGATAGGAAAACTCTCACATTCCTCCTATAGTGATCTGCCGTTCAGCCTTTTTCTTGTGGATTATTGTTTTCTGTGAAATCGATGCTATTATTACTGGGCAGTGCATCAGGTTGGTAAGATGTTGTTGGGTTTTTTTATTGATATTGTCTCAAAATAAGAGCAGTATTTTGATAATTAGATAATAGAAGTAAATGACAGCCCTGCACAGCATGCAGTTCTTGGAGCATTTGATCTAGTTTCACTTAGTTGGTCCTTGCTACAGGCACTAACCTTGAGTCTGTAGCGTTTAGGGTATTAAAGTTTTTCTGGGACACTCGTGGTGAGGGAACTGATAAATGATCTGGTATTGCTATTGACCCAGAAGGGAATATAGTCTAGTTCAGTAGATTTACTGTAAGCCTGTGAAATGTGAATGTCTGAGAATACTGTGCCGTTTTATTTTTTTAATCCAGCCTGGCACAGCAGCTGTGGACTTGATTCATGATAGAGGAGAAAAAACAATACCTACAAAGCACTCTATAACTGAGACTGGGGCAGGTGTAGACATTTTGAAACTTGCTTTTTAATACTGTCCACATGCTGATAAACACACAATGAGGTTGTGTGGCCACGCAGGATCTTTAATGAGAAAACGATTACCTTTAATTCCTGGGAACACAAATGCAAAGAGATAGACACTACTAAAGCAACTTAAACTAAACGCTTGCAGTATTCTGTTGGTATGTTGTTTCCTGGTTTATATTTTCAAAGTAATGAATGCCAGTGCTGTAGACAGCTGTGAGGTAGATAGTTATATAGATTACTTTAGTTATAACCAAGGGGAAATATCACCATTGATGCAGCATTTCAGCCAGTTTGGCAAAGAGCAAAATGAAATGGCAACAAAACTACCTGGATTAGTTGAGCTGAATGTTCACTGCTGTGTTTTGGTGCTGACTGTGTGTGTGTTTGTTTGTTGCAGAAAAGTCCAGAGCTTTCTCTCCACACGGCGAAGCCAAGAAGCAGGCACTTGGCCCTGATGACCTGCGGACATCCAACTCGGGACGCCCAGTTGTGTCACCGTACCAGATTTCTCGCGACTTGGCTAAGATCAACCACGAGCAGCACCTGCTCCACTTCAGCAGTCAGTCGCCTTCTTTGTATCATCCTGCTTTCTCCTCTTCAGCAGCATGTGTCACTGTCCATTTAAAATTACTATAGAATTTACTACAGAAGCTAAATAAACCTACTTCCTGTGCTCTGTTGGAACACTTTTCCAAAGATTAAATTGCACAATTTCTCTTGTTCCTCTAGCGTTCCAGCAAGCGGGCCACCCCTCACTGTCTGCCCTGCCACAGGACAGTGTCCGGCTAGCACCAGTACGACCCCTCACCATGCCAGAACCCCCACCGCTCATTTCCTCCTCCAAACCAGGGGGCTCTATAACACAGGTATATACCACATCGCACAAAGCTTTTTAGCACTGACCCACAGAAATATAAGAAATAAATGTAAAAATAGCTCCAGTCTTCCAAACTTCTCCTTGAATAAAGATGTGGGATTTGTCACTGTGAATTTCTTAGGGCACCCCCGTGCAGCTGCACAGCCCTGCTCATGGGCTGGACCACACGAAGATGGCCCCCGGACCAATGGGACTGCCTTGGATAGAGAAGAAAGTTGGTGAGTAGGATTGTCTGCTTCAGTTGAGCTTTTTGGTAACTTCATGACACACAGATCTCAGTGTACAGATTGCCTTCTCTGAAGGATTCTTCTTTGTGTCTGCCTGTTTGGGGTTTTTCTCCACACTCCTGTGTGCTGGGCAGCAGGTACTTTCCCGGTGGTGAAGCAGGAGCAGTTGTCCCCTCACAGCTCATCCTCCCAACCTGACAACCTGTCTACCCAGGGGGCATCTTATGATGGCTCCTCTGGCCGTGGTGGGTCCTTCATTTATTTATTCTTCTCTGCAACTTCATGAAGTTAGTCGGTATCAGTGGTGCTTCTTTTTTTTAATCTATGTGCAAAGTACAGAATTGAACCATGAAACGATGGAAAATAATTATTTTCATGTTCACACATTAGTTTTTAAGTATTTTTGCCACCAGTCTCGATGCTGTACATGTTGTTTTAACAAAAACCATTTGTGGTCAAAGCAGCTCAGAAAACTGTTTCTGAATCTGCTTAGATAATAAAAGTGAAAGTTTAGTTCTCTGAAGCCTGTCTAAGACGAGCTTGAGAAGATGTCACGGCTGGCCAAAACAGCCCCCATTTCTGTGCTGCTGGGAAACACGCACAGACAGGAGTAGTTAGAAGATCTCCCACACACACACGTTTGCCTCACCACTACAATTCTCTTCTTAAACACATGTTTGACTTTTTAAGTTTTGGCTCATGAGGTTATTTTCCCCCTCAATTCTTTCCAGCTTCTATTCCAGCTGTCCAGGGAGGTAGTATTACTAAGGGCATCCCAGGGACCAGAATGCATCCAGATTCTGCAATTCCCTACCGGGGAGGCTCCATTACTCAGGTGAGCTCAGACCAGCAAGTTAAGCAAGTTCTTTTTTTCTGTTTTTTTCCTTCCAAAGCTGCTTTCAGAAGCTGTTAATATAATAATCTGTTTTTTCCATCTGATTAGAGAATTTCTCTTAGATTTCCATGATCCAAGTTTATTAGAATTTTATGATAAAATGCCTTCCAGCAAACACATCTTTTAAATGTTTTCGGTGATGGCGAAATCTCTCCCTCTGAATGTGCTCTGCGGGTCTTCCGGTGTCACAGTCTAAAGATAGTCTTATGTTTTCGGCCTCACTGTAACGAGCCATACCATACGTGTGCGGTATACCGTCGCTGTGTGGGATGAGGCAATCCTGGAGGGTGCGAGTGTTGTGCGTTTTCTGCTGACACTGTAAAAGTTAGCCGGAGTGTATTACCACAGACCACTGCAGAATGGTCCTATTAACTTTTTATTTTGAGAACCCTTGAAAACCCCCCTACAAGTCATGTAAACAAGCTGCCTGAAAAGCAGTCAGTAGATAGTTGCATGGGAACGTTGCCATTGTGTTCCAGATGAGAATTAGCCCAGCGTTTCTCCTTTTGCAACTGTACAAGGGGAAATTTGCTGAGGTCAGTATGTATTGCCAGTGGCTGATTAACCACTTGGTGAAGTGAGACACTGAGTAGACTGTGAGGGATTATGAAATCAGCTGCCATATGTCTCACGCAGGCATGTTACACCCCCACTTCCTCTGTTGGATAACGTTTTATTTGCAAATATTGTCGAAGTCTTTGGGCCCTGAGCACATGATGTGAAGCCACAATACTGTGATTTAGCACCGTTTGAGCATCTTTGTTCTTGTGATGAAAGAGAAAGCAACAGAGGTGGTCAGAGCACATGAACACGAAGCAAACAGTGCTGCGGCTCGTCATTCAGAGCTATAACCGTAGCTCTGAATGACCCTGTTGCTAGGGCAACAGGTACACACTGTACTGCATCTGTCCGTCTCCCCCCTTTTTTTCTTTTTAATCTGTGTACTCTAGATGCTGGCTAAAGCCAGTCATTGATATATATGCCCACTCTGTCACATTCGGCTGGTAAACAAGAGAAAACAGGTGTTGAGGAGGCTGGTATCTACCATAAAAATATTAAAGGAAAGATTGTGTTTCTTTCCTTTAGATGCATTGATAAGTGTGTGAGTGTGTATTTCATCCAGTGAAACATATTTTATAAGAGCAGGTGAGAGGGTTTAGTCTGTGCCATCCGATCTTGTAAACAAACCCCCCCACAGCCCCTCTCCTCCTAGGATAAACAGTTCTTGGAAAAGCTCAGACCAACAGATTAAAAATCTGCACTCAGCCACTTCTGTTCCCTGTCCACCCGTCCGCTAATGTTAACATTTCTTGGCCAATCAGTGTAGAAAAATGACTAATACACAAAGTGATGTGATTCATAGCTAAATCAAACAAAGCTGCCTGGTGTTCTCTTCCGTTTCCAATTGGTTATACCACTCCTTATTCTTAGTAAAGCTGCTTTCTTACACACACACACTTGAGCCCTGAAATGTTCCAGAGAAGCAGCATGCGAGAACACAAATATGAACAACTACATCTGGCAGAGATTTTCAATTTCGGGCAAAATTTGTAAAAACTGCAAGAAAATATGTGAATAAAACGGTTTGAATTAGTCCCTGCTACACCTGCATGCTGCTTTCCACCGGCTCCCCTCTGACGTGGATACGCACAGATACATGAAGTGCACATGTCAACACAATAAGGACCTTCACCTGCTTCTCTCTGTGTGAGGGATTTCCACATCATGTGACACCTCCTGTCAGCTCTTGACAAGTAGCTAGCAGAGCAGATCTCTTGCAGTAAGCTGTAGAAAAAAAAAACATCTCTGCCGTGTTCACGAGTGAAAACAGCATAACACTAGGTGTTACATATTTATCAGTGTTGTTGACTTTATGTAAGACCATCGTATGTGAACCACCCAACAGTGTAATTATTGGTATGAATGTCCAACATTCTTCTGTGCGGAAAACTAGTATGACAAAAAAGTTTGTTTCTTCTCCTTTTTCAACACAGGGGACACCTGCTGATGTGCTGTATAAGGGAACCATAACACGTTTGATCACAGAGGACAGCGCCAGCCGAGCTGAGAGGGAGCGGGAGGAGGCTCTATCCAAAGGACACGTGGTCTACGAGGGCATCAGTGGGCACATCCTCTCATATGACCGTGAGTGCATCAGCCAAAGCACTTCTTCAACATCAAAGCCTTTTAGCACACAAGAAAAGTATCTGTGGCTGACCTGTGCACGTTAAGTAAGATGTTGTGTCAAATGTAGGCCCAGTGTCACAGCCACCCAAAGATGATGGCAGAGGCTCGGGCCAGGCAGGGGAAATTCTTGGCCTAAAGCGCCCTTACGATGTCATGGAGGGTGGCAGGGGGCTGCCTCTGAGGGACTCTGTGTCTGCCGCCAACTGTGAAGGTAAGAGACGACCCCCACGTAAGCATCCCATGAGGCACTTTGTAGTGCGATTCAGCTCTGCACGTCTTAAACTGTCTCCTTCTGGCTCCGTTTTAGGTCTGATCGGCCGAGCTTTGCCTCACGATAGGGACAGTCCGCACCACACACCTTACAAAGACGCACATCACATCCGTGGCTCCATCTCCCAGGGTGCGCTGCCTGAAAATGAACGAAAGTCTGACCTTTTCTGCTGCTTCCACAAAATAACATTAACACGCACCTTTGATTTCAGGTATACCTCGTCATCTGGATCCTCAGGATGGCTACCTGAGAAGGGAGGCTAAGCAGATGAAAAGAGAGAGCTCCCCACCCCGCTCCGAGCAGATGAAGAGCAGGGAGGCCATCGTTCCCACTGTGAAGGAGGCTGGGCGCTCCATCCACCTCATTCCAAGGGAGGAGCTCAGACAAAGTGCAAAGGAGGTACCGTCATGATAATTACATGATTACACTTGAAGACGTCAATGTTGTTTCTCCACTGATGAGTTCCTGCTGTTTCTGTGTTTAGGGAATGCCTGTGAAGCAGGAGGGCGCGGGTTCAGGAAAGCGCCACGATGTCCGCTCCATCATAGCCAGCTCACCACGCTCATACCACGGTACACCCTCCCACCTGGAGCGCTCTGAGAGAGGTCGATGTGAGGAGGCCCCTAAGGGCCGGCCGAGCGCTGTGGTCAGTACAGCCAGTCCCATTGCCCGCTCATCCCCCCTAACTCTCGGCTCAGAGCAGGGAGGCAAAGCCCATCATAGTCCAGTGGGCTATGAGGATAAAGGAGCCTTAAGGAACCCTTACCCTGGACCCTCACATCGTGGCTCTCCGCTGTCCAGGGATCCCAGCCAGAGGCAGCATGAGGGTGGGTATATCTCATGAAGACTAGACAGATTTCTTCTAAAAAAACAAAACTTTGAAACGTTTCGATTCATTACAGATCATGAATGGAACAGTTTAACTAGTGTGAAGGAAGCTTATTAAGCATATTCTTTTAAAGCCATACTGAGTCAGAATTTCTTTACTCACCCCAGGCTCCAGTAAGAATCCCTCTCAGGAGCGCAAAGCCACGCCGACGCCCAGGGAGATGAGGGCCACCAAATCTCCGCTGTCCGGCGTTGCGGACCCGCAGGCCTATGAGCGTCTGTTTCAGAGTCTGGGAGCACCAGACATGTACCGTCAGACCATGTTAGCCTTTGATCCTGCCGGGCTGCCCCGCGGCATCCCCATTGACCCAGGTAAATCCAGTCTTTTACTCAGAATATAGCCGTCCGCTAAAATATGGAATGTAAATTATTGAAATGATCTTGTTGAAAAGAATGAAAGAAAATGTGTAAACTGGTTAGATTTGGATTTAATTTGCATATCCATTATGAATGACTTCCTAATGCATTGTTTGCTACTCCTCCTCCACAGCAGCCTACTACTTGCCTCGCCACCTTGCTCCCAACCCGGCCTACCCTCATCCCTACCCCTACCTCATCCGTGGCTTTCCTGACACCGCCGCCCTTGAGAACAGGCAGACTCTGCTCAATGACTACATCACCTCTCAGCAGATGCACCAGTGGCCTGCAGCAATGGCTGCCCAGCGCTCAGAACTGCTCAGGGGCCTGACCCCTCGGGACCAGCCCCTGTCTCTGCCCTACCCCGCTGCCCCACGCGGTAAGACCAGTCAGCTTAAAGTCTCATGAACGTCGGTCAGCCTCTTTTTGTGCTCCCGTGGACTTTTTCATAAGATGTTCCCCAAAGACGTGTTTCTAGTGGTTTAAAGAGCAGCAGAGTTCGTTTAGCAATAACTCTTTTTACCTTGAATGTTGCTTCTTTTTTCTTTTTCTTCTTTTTTTTGGCCACTCACCTCTTCCACCCCAGCCTTCAAAATTTGCCCTGTTTGACAGGAACAGCGGTGACCAGCAGAGTTCAGTGGGAACCGACTTGGACCATTGCAAATTCAAGCAACAAATCAGTGAAATTTAAACATGGCTCACGCCCAAAGCAAAGGGATGGAAGGGGGATTTCAGCTGATCACCGCCTTCTTTGTCCTTACACCCATTTGCCGTAGTTAGCTGGATCTCTATCTTAACCACACAGCTAAATGAACAGAGGAATTATAAGCAGGAAACAGTCGCTGCCGAGAAATGCACGAGTTCATATCAATTGATTTAATTTGATATGTAATGCCACTGTACGATAAAGCAATGGACCCAGGCTCTGGTTGTTGAGTGACTGAACCCAACTATGTTGATGGCAGAGCACCTGAACTCGCACAGATATCTGGTCAAAGCTGCCTGTAGGGCCATCACCTCTGTATTCGCCTGATGTTTATCCTGATTAAGCATCCAGAGCCATACAATAATCAGCCACCGCTGATAGGAAAATGGGAGCATTTAATTATTTGAACCAGTCACTTTTGTTTTGCATTGTTTGAAGTCCATTTGATATGTAGGTTTAGATTTAAAGCCGATTATTTCAACACAATGTTTGTGCTGTTGAAACTGTCTGGTGTATATGCTTTTAAAACGAAAAATAGTGAAGAGCTCATTTTAGGACAGTGATGTACTTGTGCAACAGTTGGATGCAGGTTAAGATTTACTTAGTCATAGAAAAATTATGTTTAATATGTGGTTCAAGAAAAGTCTGTCATTTTAATGCATTTAGACCTCTTTTTTCAAATAATTAAACCACCTGTTGACTGCAATATGAAGTATAGTTCCCTTTGATGGCCTTCACATCCATTGTTGGTTTGCAGTTTATCCGGGTGTTGCATTTCACATTTAGCTTGAATTGTTCTTTAATCTGCTGTAAAGATGCGGTGGCAGTAACAGTAGAAGTACTTTGAAGAAGAGAAATAATGCCACCATTTTGAAAAATACAATATATGGAAGAAAGAAAAATTCTTGTGGTTAAGAAATGAGTTTAAGGTCAATCTTGACTCTTCTCTAAGCAGTTCTGATCCAATCAGGTTAGTTCATAATTCTTTAGATAATAATAAATAATAATCATTATCTCTTTTATTCACATGTACCAAAACCTCCAAAGACTTAAGTATTTTAGGTTTATAATCTATTGATAAATATTGATGCCTGAGGTGGCCTTTCGTTCTTCCGTCAAGAGGACATAGAACATCTAGACTAGCGATCAGATTTTCCTTGACCATTCTCTATCTTCTGTCTCCCAGGGATCATCGATCTTTCTCAGGTGCCACACTTACCTGTCCTGGTCCCTCCCTCTGCAGGGACAGCCAGCTCCCCAATGGATCGCATCACCTACATCCCTGGGACGAGCACCACCTTCCCCGGCCGACCTTACACCACCTCCCCCATCTCGCCTGGTATGATTAGCTTCATGGAAATGTGCCCCCACAAGATGAGATGTGTTGCAATCTGTTTTTTCACCGAAGTGCATTGCCCTCATTTTTTCCTTTGTTATTCTTTCTTTTTAGTTGGCTCCTCGCACATCAGCAAAATACAAAGCACGGCGTCGGCTTCAGAGCGCGAGCGTGAGCGGTATCGCGAGCGCGACCGGGAGCAGGACAGAGAAAGGGAGCTGGAGCGGGACCGGGAGAGACGAGAGAGAGATCGGGAGAGGGACCGCGACCGGGACAAAGAGAGAGAGCGAGAGCGCGAGCGGGAGAAGGGCGGCTCCTTGGGGAATGTGGAGCACGCGCCCATCTGGCGACCAGGTGTGGACAGTGAGCGCGCAGCCCCCGTGCTCGCAGCACACCTGCGACAGGAGACAAACCGTACGGTCTGCTTGCCTCCTCAGGTACAGAGCACAGCCTGGCCAGCAGCAGCGGGAGACCCGCATCCCAACCTTACAGCCACCAGCACTCACCAGTGTCACCTCGAACCCAGGACAACGTGCAGCAGAGGCCAAGCGTGCTGCACAACACTGGGGGCAAATGTTTTTCTGTCAGCGATCACTCATCCGCGTCACGGTAACGCCCGTTACCTTTTTAAAAATTCAGAACAGTATTCTCACATTCATTCAAACTTGTCTTTAATTCCCTGAAAAAGAACACTGTTTTCTTCGAGTGTTGTCTAATTTTGTTTATATTGTCCCCCCCCCCCAGGTCCATGCCCTCAGGGTCGTCCCGTTACCAGGCTTACTCCGGCCACCTCCAAAGAACAGGGGTGCCCCCCGATGCCTACCCACCTGCTACGGACTCCAGCATAGTCAAAGAGCAGGGTCGTGACGGGGGGAAACCCCGGGGAGGCCTGCCCAAACACGTGCAGGACCAGCACGGTACGTCGGGTAAATCCGACCCCAAGATGTCCAGCTCCAGCCCAGGAGGCGCGTACCCGGGTGCATACGCCCCGGGCTCAGGCCGGTCCCAGCACCTGCTGCCCCTCCAGTCCGATATCTCTTCTGGTCGCGGAGAAAGCAGTACACCTAGTAGAGAAAAGACTCAAAACAAACCGATGTCCGTTCAGGAACAAGAGCTCCGATCACTCGGTAAGACCACCATGACTGCGGCCAGCTTCGTAAACGCGGTTATTATGCGTCAAATTTCTTGTGAAACGGGGATGCCAGAGACGGGTTCGCTTGTTCCCAGCAGCACCACTGATGGTAAGACGCTCTGGATCCCCGGGATCCCCTTCACCACCCAGACCCGCCCTCGTCAGTCTGTGGCCTATTGCACGTTGGGGTGATTGGCATTATTAAATCGGCTCAACTCATTTACATTTTTCTTTTATTTCAGCGCTGCAATTTGTTTGCTTTCCCCCCTTTTTGGATGTTGGCCTTGCTTCAGACTTAATGACTACCATAGGTACCTACTACATAAAATCATTCCTCCTAACATTTGGAGCTGAGAGGCTGAAATGAAAGTGTTAGAGGTGGTTTATGAGCTTATTGGAGCATTAATAAAGTCTGAGCTGCCATTAACTTGAGCGTTCTATTGAAAAGGTCCTATGTGTCCTTTAATGGAAGCTAAAACTGGTGAACCTCTGCGGCTCATCTTCATTTTCATTTCATAGAGGACCCAACTTAAATTTGTCAGGTGGCATCACTCCTCCCGACAGTTTGACTGCCTTCTTTCTTTCAATAAGATATTTCCACTCAGGCAATTGGGGCAGGATAGGAAAATGTGTCCCTCGTTCAACATTTCTGCTGTAATTTGGCTTTTCGATTGCAGTGACGCTGCCTGATGCCTAATGAGATACTGCTTCCAACAGAGACTTCAATAAAAAACCTCAATGATAAATTAAATATGTAATAATGCTAATGGATAAAGGCAAGGTGGGGGTAGAAAACTAGCACTGCAGCTTCTGGCCTTCTCTGCATGTTCCTGTTAATGACTCGCTGATTTGGATTTCTCTCCTGCTGGCTCTCTATGCATCGCTCTCAATTAAGCCTCTGGGAATTTCTGTCATTTGAGCTTTGATTTTCATTCGGGTGTCTTCTCGCAGAGCAACGCATCACATCTGTATTGATATGTCACTTTAGGGGGCGTGACCGCTGCATGCTTAGAATGGGTGCTTTGCTTTGGCAAATAAGCTCATACTGCTCTCCAGGGCATGCAGACAGATTATGTTGCTTCAGAAGTAACTTGCTCACCGTGATTGTTCAGTTAAATTTCTTTTTGCCGTAATAACAGCCTTTGGTTTCGCGGCATGCAGTGAAGTCTTTTGGATTATCCTGGTCACTGAAGCAGTGCATTTTTCTTTCATTTTGTCATGTCGATATTTGCTGTTATGACTTCTTCATTTCCGAGTCAGTGATTCGAAACCAGCCAATTATAGCCTTGTTTCTGGTCAAAGCCCTGCTCAGCGGAATCTGCAAAGTGTCCAATAGAGATAATTAAGAGGCTCATCGCAGATGGACACACTCACATGTTGACTGAACCTTTTAGTTTGTCCAGAAATACCTGAATTTGCCAAAGTCTTGATGGATAAAAGGTTTTTTCTGCGCAATGAGTGATTTGTCAGCTTAAAATGAAAATCGGGGATTAACTTTTACTTGTGTTTGTGTGTGTGTGTCTTTGGTTTTCAGCTGCGCCACATGGTCTCTACCGTCCCCCCTCGGAGGAGAGACTGTCTCCAGGCCAACAGCCCCCGTCCCCCTGTGTCAAAGGCAGCCAGAGGGTGATGACCCTGTTACAGCACATCAGCGTAAGTCCATTCACAGCCGTAAACACAAAGATTAAGATATGCAGGATGGTTATTTGTTCACAGGTGGGTGAGAGCCTAAAATCATCAGGGGGATTTTTCTGCATGTCAGGAAGTGTAGCGTAATGTCTGAGGTGCATGTGTCTTTGTGCAAACAGGAGGTGATAACTAAAGACTACACCAAGCAGAGTCAGCAGCAGCAGCAGCAGCAGCAGCAGCAGCAGAGCTACCACGGCTCTCCTGTGCTGGACCTGACCCGTCCACCCAGTGCCTCCCAGCCTCCCTCCGCATCACAGGAGTCTGCCCAAGGGTCCCGCTACACAGAGGCTCTCAGTGGAGAATGCAGCAGAGATCGGTGGGAACCCCGCTGATTTGAATTCCCCCAAAAAACCTCATTGGAAAAAAAATTGACGAGTAATAAAAAGCATTCCATGTCCTGTTTACAGGTCCCCCTCCCAGGCCAAATCTTCACCCATCAGTGTTTCAAATGACTGCATCGAACCGGTCTCTCCTCCTGGAACCAGCTCTGAACCTGAAGTCCAGGGAGGGGCGTCCTACACCAGCGAGCAGGGAGAGCAGGGGTGAGTGCTGGGAGCATCTTAGTCAGTCAAAGCTTCCACTCCCGCTCTTTCAAAATGAAAGCAGCCAGACAACGTTCACCCTGTGTGTTCTTGCTTCTCTGGCATTGGCCAGTGATTTGTTACAACGTTTCAAGCTGATGATGTGAACAGGAAGGCTGAAAATTAGAAGGCGTTGCTCTAAATACTCGCCGCTCTGCACTTTCCAGCTGGCTGTTTTCTTAATTTGTGCATGGAGGTCTCACAGCCATCAGACCCCGGATTAAAACATATACAGGATGCGGTTTTTGTACCAGTCACACACATTAAAACTGTGTATGTGCTGTGTGCTTAACTCAAGCAGAGAGTCGGCCTCGGTTTTTTAGGGTGGTAATTCCTGCGTGGCTTTACTCTTGTTTCTCTTACCCCCATAATACCACAAAGCATCCTTAGAATACCAGCATTCAGTTACATGACTGAACAAACTGATCTGTTTACCTTAATAACATTTTATTCAGAGTTCTCTCTTTTGTTTTTTTACGCTGTAATTTAATACCAGAAGAAAAATATTGCATGGCAATCTGATCCAGGAATGGATTTGAGAAAAACCTGGAAATAAACTGAAAAAGATAGAAGAAAAATCTGAGATGAGAGAATTTCTCACTTCAACATGCTGAAAATCAAAAGAAAATAACACTGAAGAAAGGGTGTATAGAACTCTAAAACTTTGCAGTTTACAGCTCAGCATGGAACCGGTTTGTCGTCCACTTTAGCCATTGTGATTACAGCTGTCAAACTGTGAAAAGAGCCCAGTAAATGTCCGTGAAGGCCTCCTCTGCTTTTTGCGTAATACTCCTTATTTTGAGGTGATTGGAATTGGGGAGGGCAGGAAGTTAATCTGTATGGCCCAGTTTGTAGACTACGGCAACTGAAAGTGCTTTACCAAGGCACTAAGACGAAATGATGGAAAAGTAAAAACAATTGTGTAATCGGACAGAAAAAGGATTAGAAATAAAGGAAAAAGTCCAAACAGTGCAGTACACTGAGGATCGACGTAGGTGTTGGTGCGCCTCTCTAAACCAGCTCTGGACATGAGATTGTTTGAGGTGGTAAAACGCGGTCTTAGTTACAGCCTTGATGTGGCTGCTGAAGTTCCAAACGCATCCAGAACCAAACCACGTTATGTAAAGTAGGAAAATGTCACCGATTCCTTGGAATGCTTTGAGCTGACGCCACCTCTCCGCCCACAGGCTGGACTCTCGGTCTCCACCCAACACCTCCCAGCCTCCAGCTTTCTTCAGCAAGCTGACCGAAAGCACCTCAGACATTGTGAAGTTTAAGAAGCAGGAAATGATCAAGAAGATGACCGTGGTCGGAAATGAGAATGAATTCAGTAAGTCTGACCTCAGGACGGGGGGCAAGAAATCAAAGCAGAAGGAGACAGTCTTTGACTTTTTTTTTTTTTTCTCTGTTTCAGATTCTGGCCAGCCGGGAACAGAAATTTTCAACATGCCAGCATCCACAACTGCAGGTAAGCAGTTCAATATTTAGGAATGGAAGTCGGAGTGAGTGCGTTGGTGAAGGAGAACAGGGAGCGACGTCTTACAAACGTTTTGAGGCCTTTTTTTTCCCCTCTTCAATGTTTCCACTCAGGACCTGTGAGTGTGCGCAGCCACCCAGCTCCAGAGGCTCCCGGCAACTCCATTGGCCTGGAGGCCATCATCAGAAAGGCCCTGATGGGCCAATACGACGACCCGTCTGAGGAGCGCTCTCCGTCCAGCACAGCCAACGCGGCGGGCCCCGGGGCCGCCGCCGACGGGCGGGCCGAGGACGCCTTCCTACAAGGTGACGCCTCCTCGCTTTTACTCGCACGAAGTTTGAACACGCCACTTTCCTCAGTCACTATTTTCTGGGGGAAGGTTTCATAGCACGAAAGGCCCCGAGCAAACTGCAGGTGAAAATCAGTATCTGTGTCTGTTCATTAGTGAGTCCTCATATTTGTGGTTTGGGTGTAATTTCTGAAGTCATTTGCTCAAGTCTCCTGTGGATAGTGTTGCGCAATGCTGCAGACCCTGATTTATCGTGTTTACAGTCATAAAAGCGTCCCCCTTTTTGTCGGTTTGTAACCAAACACAGCTGGTTTTTTTCTGAATGGCTTCAGCTGGCTTTACCCTGGAGCTCTTCCTCTTCTGTTTGCAGGCGGGTCAAAGTCCTCAAAGGGCAACGGGCGCTCGAACGGGCGCAAGGCCAAGTCCCCGGGACCCGGTTTGTCCGGGAGTGAGAGGCCTTCCTCGGTGTCCTCGGTCCACTCCGAAGGGGACTGCAACCGGCGGACCCCCCTGACCAGCCGTGTGTGGGAGGACCGGCCTCTGTCTGCAGGTACTTTCTATGACTCTGATCCCGCTGAGCTCCCATTTTCAGGAAATGCTGGAAGACTGACCCACTTATTACATTTGTGCTTTTCCCAGGTTCCACGCCAACTCCTTTTCCATGCAACCCGCTGTTGATGCGTTTCCCCAGCGGCACAGTTTCAGCTCATTCCCCCTCCTCCGGCCAGCAGGGGCCGCCGGCCCCCGGGCTGGGACCCGGACAGGGTCGCTCCTGGGAGGAGGAGCCCAAACCTCTGCTCATGTCCCAGTACGAGACCCTGTCCGACAGCGAGTGACCAGAACTGCCACCGCACAACAGGCCCCGCTAACAACCGGCCCTCCTCTGCTGCTGCAGCTACACACACACACACACACACACACACACACCCACGTACACACACTAGGCGTTTTGCAGACCTTCCCTCGACTTCAGCCCTCCATCTGCTCCATCAGTCATCAGTCTCGAGTCGCATCCTTTGTTCTCGCACCCCAGATGAGAAGAAGAAGTGCAGAAGTGGACGCCGCTGCTCCCTGTGTGTGTCTGTGTGTGTGTGTTTGTTTGCACTTACATGTTATGCATTCACTCCAGGACTATTCGAAAGGACAAATCACTTTTTCTTTCTTTTTTCCTAAACTTTTACTACTATTCCTCACTGGCCTTATAAACACAGACACACTGACCGGTATCATTTGGGCATACTGGTCAAATCTTGTGTGATGACGGCTCGACTCCTGACGGACGATTGGTGGTGAGGACTCGTGTTTCTTCACAGTGAACTCCGGGTGCAGGTGCCTGCTACCACTACAAGGATACATGTAATAAAACGGGGGGGTAGGGGGACTCGGCATCGACATCGTTTCGGCTCTTTCTTTTTCCCCTCTGAATCCTGTCAGTCCAGTCCTGTGTTTTGTGAGCCGAGACCTTTTAGTACATTTTGATGGTGAACTTTTGATGGCGTCATTTGTTGTCTCTTATCTGCAATTATGTATCTTTTTTTTTTTCTCTTTTTTTTCCTTCCTTTTTTGTGGGTTGGTATGGGGAGGGGAGGCAGATATTATATGGGAGGGGTCATATCATTGGTTTACAGGGTAAACTTGTAGTTCATTGCTGATGTCATGTGTTATAGGGAGGGCCCCGGAAAAGGCGAAGCCTTGTAGGAATCTGTGTGGGAAGGAGTCGGATTGCCAGACGGATGGCACTGAGACAAGTGACACTTTCTCACTGTTTTTATATTAAACATGTCTGTGTTTGTTTGTTGAAACGGTTTTTTGGATATTAAGCACTTAGTTGTCAGTCTGTTCACGATGGCATTTTTAAGGATCTGTTTTTTTTTTGTTTGTTTTTTTTTACACCTGGCGAAAGTGGACAGCTCAGACATCCAGTTGCGGAGGTGTCTTTTAATGCCCGCCGTTTGATTTGTGGTCTCGCTGCCTCTGTCCTTTTGCCGCTCCCGCACTCAGAGGGACAATCGCATTAAACCGATGACTAAGCCGCTACGAGCAGGTTGCAGACCAACCTTTTTAAAGCTGCTCAAAGCAAATTCCACAGTATCGCTCTGTTTCGTTGCATTACAGTGGTGACAAAAAAAAAGCCATCTTTCTATGACCCTTGACCCTTTAGCTACGTCAGCTCAAGCTGTTCCGCTAAAACCCTTTCAAGGAGCTGAACTCTGACCTTTTACTGCCCCGCGGAGGCAGAGCGGCGCCTCACACGGGCAGGTTTTGTACAGTTATGAGATATTCTTAGTGTTAAGTGCCATTTATTTTACATAAACTATACTGAAGTTACCAAGTGACGCACAAGTTTTATTTTAAGCCCCGCATGCCTGGGTTCATCCTTTCCACACCAGGAGATCGAAAACAAAAATGAAATGAAACTTTTCTTCTTCTTTTTTTTTTTTTTTTTCTTTTTGTGTGCGAGTGTGCGTTTTCTTTTTTCCCCATCCTCTCCCAAGTCAGTCACTGCCTTAGCTCTTATCTGTTTCACTCACGGTCCCAGCCGTGGTCAGCATGTGCTGGCCTGTGACGCCCACCACACACCACTTGGGTGTACTCCATCGCAGCAGTGTGTGTGTGTGTGTGTGTGTGTGCATGTGCGGGTTAGAGGAAGCTGAGGATGAGGCCTACGGAGCGGCATTGTGTAACATTAGTCGAAACCTTCCCCCTCTGCGGGGCGGCGTTCACAGCCTGTGCAAATTGATGTGAGAAGTGTCCGCTTTGTGACTTCATACAAAACGGAGGTGGTTTCCTTCCCCCTCTGGCGGAACGCTCTGAAGAAATACAAGTCATCTTGTGAGGAAACACTCTTCCCCCATCGCTCACGCGTTTTTGTCACAGTGAATTCCACCAACACAGAAATGACTGTTATAGGACTACCTCCTCTCCTCCTTTGTCCTTTGCGTCCGCCGGTGAAGCATTGAGCATGCCTCACCTGCATCTTAGCCGTGTTTTAAGTAAAAAAAAAAAAAAAAACAATTTTTTTATCGATGGATGGTTTGCTATTTTCATCATTCACGGCAAAAACAAACAGAACAGCTCGGCTTTGTACGTTGGTCACTGTATGTGTATCAAATGTAAGAATGTGACGCTAAACACAGACTAAGCCATATCCAGCTGTCCCTTAACCCATTACTAACATGTTTTTAAAAGTACACTGAAATTCATTTTTACATGCATCCATATTGTTTTTGCTCTTAGAAGTTTGTTTAATGCACGCCTTTGTCATCACAAATCAAACTAATCATTCTGACTGAAAAAGGACAAAGCTGGGGGTGTGTTTCCTTGACTCTTAGATGGCGGGTGGGGATCGACAAAAGCGGACATTGTTCAACCATTTTGTGCTTTTTTTCCCTATTTTTTTTTTTTATTATAACCCACTGTATAATAGCAAGGATTGTATATACAACTGAAGAGATGTAAATATTTATGTGGCTTGCTTCAAGGTTGGTATTACAAGAAGAAAAAGAAATATTCACATGGTTAAATTCTACATGCCCACCAGCAAGCTTTGTGGATAGCAGTGTAAAAATGAAAAACAAACAAAAAAAGAGACACTGCCTTAATGTTTAAATAAAAAGCTTATTGCCATTCTTTGTGTCAGTGTCACATCTGTTGCATCTGTATTGGATTGGTTTTGGTGTGCCGTGGTAATGAGGGTTTTTGTCCAGCAGGGGGCGATAGGAGCAAGTTATTAAGTATCAGGTTAGTTTCATGCAGAGACTTTTAATCTCCATAAATTAATGAAATGGGTCAAAGTTAGACACTGAGTAGAGGCTGAGCTCAATAAGCACTATTACTGGAATTCACTTCATACCCGACTTCCAAAAGCTCTATTAGAATCTTGACGTTTCATTTGATAATCCTTACTTTAAAATGTGCAACTTTATGGAGCTGAAAAGTCAGAAATTTTGAGAGGTTGGAAATGAAAAAGTTCACTCCGTACCTGTGTTCAGATACACTCCGGCCACATGAAATTCTGGCATGAACTGAGATTTTTATGGGGTATGTTTTAATTCTGAGTTATAAGGCAGGTATAGATGGATTTTTGTCCAGTTATGGGAAGTATTCTGTAATTAATTAGCAAGCTCCACACATTTTCTTTTGATATGAATAGCGCAGCATCCGAGTGGGCACATTCAGATCTGCTCTCCTGGCAGCAAACTCAAAGGAGCTTTATCTCAGCTGTTTATTGAATGAGGTACAGTTTGTGTGCTGGAACTGAGAGGAATGTGAGAGGTGTTATTTGCAGTGAACAGAGCAACATGATTTTTTACGATTTAAAATGCAAATCTGAGGAGGTTAAAAGTAAAAAATGTTAAATCTCAGATCTTAATTCTAAAGAATGAAATTTAGCACAGATTAAATTTAGTTCTTGATCTGTTGTTTCTCTTGAACACTAAGATGGTGATTAGTGGAAAATGTAACTTCTAAAGTCCAGAATTGGCTTTGCTCAGCCTTGTTAAAGGCAGTTGGAGGAATTCAGACATTCAGTTTGTTAGATATTTATCATTCCTGCTTAATGGTTTTAAGATGAGATGGTTTGGTGGTAAACATCCCCTCTGCTCCCCACCCAATTTATTTCAACTCCTTGCTCTCTTTATTGATCTGCATCTGGAGCTTTTTACACAACGTGCATATATCTTAAGGGTAAACAGACCAACTTCTTTAAAAACATATTTATGGGTAGTTTTATTTGAAAGAAAATCACTTCTGAGAACAAAATAGATACATGGAAAGAACTTGTGTTTTTTTGTTTTGTTTTTACCTCTCCTCCCTTTAGATTAGAGCTAAAAAGTAATCCGGCTTCAGTCCTGTTTATTTGTGCATCTGTCGAGCTGAAACCTGCTGGTTTTTAGAAGACGGGTCATCTAAAACTAACCACCTTAGACAGATGAGACCCTGTGAACGCAGAACTGAGCCCAGGTTTATTCACATTCTCACCATCGGGGGGCAGCTGGGCTTAATCCAGCCGGGCTGTGACTGATGTGAGCTGCTGTGGAGACCTGAAGGCACCCGGCCTAAACTCTGCGCCCGCCCTGGGTGCTGTTATTTTAGTTGCAGTCTGATATTCAACGCCTGTGCACACTGGCACCTTCATTTACAGTCTGTGTTCTCCCGCACATAGGGGAGGACGCGTTCAATGCTGGAGCTAAATGTGTTTTCTGGCTTATTTTGTTTTAATCGATACTACATTTAATAGACTGAGAAACTAAAAAAAGAAGATAAACACGCAAACACCATCAAGACAAGGCAGCATATCTTCATTATTACAGTTGTCTTTCCATTTATTCATTCAGGATATACATATCTTTAAATAATTTTTTCTTTGATAGGACAGAAAACAATGATTGACGTACAAAAATATAAAGAGAATTATGAAGTGCCTTGATGCAACATATACAATAGGAAAAATATTTTACAGTAACAAAAATCAAGTGTTAGAAAACACAAAAGTATCACACATAAAATCACCAAGCTTCTAAACCTGACACCCGACAACGTTCTCTCATCATTCTCTGACATTTCACAGGCCTTCAACACATCGCTCAACTCCAAACGCCTCCCAGGAACTTCACTGTTTTGCACAAGAAGCCATCTCCTGAGCCATTTTCCTTCTCCATTCTTTCACCGTCTCACTCTTTTTCTGGCCACTTGCTGTTTTTCTCTCATTCCTCCCCCTCTTACAGTACAGTTGCACTGCGTCAGCTTTCTGCCCTCCTGCCTTTCCAACTATGAAATGAAACAAGAGTGCAAGACCTCAAAATCAGGAATACGTTTTTACAATGAAATAACTCTGATACCCAAGAAAATTTGAGGTAAAGTCAGAAGTTTCAATGTTTGCCACGTGTAGCAATCTATATATATATATATATATATATTTCATGGCTTTTTCATGGTTTCATGGCTTCACTCTTCAACATGTTTGATCTCCTTTTGATGAGCTCGAGTCTGAAAAGGGCTTGAAATAGTCCAAATATACATCTCATGTGATTAAAGACGAGTTAGATTTGCTAACAGTGTTAGGCCCGAAATGGCCGAGTTAACTTCAGTCCGGCGCTGGTACAAGCTGACATCTGTTTTAATATTGCATTAGTGACATTTTCACCGACTAAGATGTTCCAAGCGGCTGGTTTCTCTCAATCCAAAGCGGTTATTTTCGTATTTTGAGACAGGGTGATGCTGGAGGCTTGTGGGAGTAAGCCACCAAATACAATGCAGATGGAAATGCTACATTTGTGTCAGAGGGTTAACTGTGTCCCTCGATTTCCTATGATATTTTTATTCATTTTATTATCAGATAACCTCCAACATTTGGCACGGAGAGAGATTAAAAATGAGCCATTGGGCTGATTTTAAGCAGACACATCATGCAATGACGGCCACCTTTCCGATGGGCCTCGCTCTCCCACGCATCTCTGACCAATTACAGTTTTAAGAGCTAAGCTCAGTGTTTTTCACTAAACTAACTATCTAAACACCATCTTCAGTATTTGCTCTGCAGCTCTCGATTAGGTCTTAAAGACCAGACAATAAGCCATTTTTTAAAAACCACCTTCACCGTAGCTCTCACAGCATGCTAACAACTGCTATCTGCCAGGGCTGGATTTCATGTTGGGCCTTTTCCGGAAGCTTTTAGTACCCGGTTTGGGGACGTCTCCAGTCTCACTGAAGCTGGCTGCTGCTGAGCGGCATTATTCGGCTCCCTGTCTAAAAACCTACAGCAACTAGAGGGAAATAAACTGTTCAAACTGTCTTTGGTCCAAGTTTTCAGATACGGCACAGAAATTCCCCATTGCGCTGCCAAGTCCTCTGAGAGAACTGCAACATATAGAAAACAAGTGCAATAAAGCTATATTTAGTCAGCTTTGCATCTGTGTGGCTGGCTTTGCGTAAGCTCTGCTAGAATCCTCGACACGGGTCATCTTTACATTAGCCTGTACACGCAGATGTCTGCGATTCCGACCGTTGCCTTCGCTGAGCTTAAGGTCCAACCTGGGGGAGCCCAGGCTCCGCGTCTGTCGGCTTTAAATAAGACATTAAACTACTGCGGGGCAGCTTTAAACGGACGAGCGCCAGCGGCCCCTTTGAAGACGGCGACAGCAGGAAATCTTTTTTAAAAAAAACAACAACACTTGGGTGAAATGCCAGACTGCTTCCAAGAGCTTCAGAGCAGGATTTTAAGGGGATCCGGGTATTTCCCTTTGAGTGGGGGCCTTTCCAATACCCAAGTTCTCAACAACGAAACGAAAAAACGGAAAAAAAAGACAGAAAAAGACAGGAGAACGCCTCTAGCAGCCCGGGCTCTACAGGTCCTCCGTGTATATGATGCAGGGGCTGGTGTCCTCGCTGGACTCCAGCTGCACCGTGGAGACGAACCAGCGGCGGGAGCCCGAGGCGCTGTAGCTGAGCGTGGTGCGGTAAGTGTTCTTGGCGTGTTTGGGGTAGATGATGGTGGTGCTCTGGTAGCTCACGGGCCTCTGCCGGGGCTCCAGGTACACCTGGCTCTTGTAGCTCCGCCACGTGCAGTTGCGCACCGCCACCACCGTCTCGCTGAAGGCCGTCGGCGTGGGAACCGGGGCGCACAGCACCCGGTCCCTGTAGTGCTTGTCCGAGTCGTACTTGACCTCCGAGTTGCATCTGGAAAAAACAGACGACAGCCGTTTAGGAACCGCTCTGAACCCCATCAATCGCCGTAAAGCTTACTGTCTTACTTGATTTCCTGCTCCGGTTTGGGGTTGACCTCAATGCTCTCGCCGAAGAAGACGGGATGCCTGCGGATCTTTGGCTCTGCCCCCGTGGAGTTGAGCAGCAGGTAGGGCAGCTGCACAGAGGGAAGGGAAGGCGTTAGGACCCCACAGCAACAAGCACAACACGCTGAAGCGTTTTGAATGCATCCTTTCAAGGAACCTTGGTGAAAAATGCCAGCATTGTTGGGGAGTTTCAACAGAGCCGGCAGCCCAAATTAAAAACATTGCGCTCCCCACCCTCTTCAGGAAAACAGTCCTTGATCCTCCCTCATGAGAACTGGCTGTATCGATGGCCAGAGAGTTACTGCGACAGCATTCGGACAACAATCGCAGCAGTCGGGGCACTTCTGGTTTAATGAAAGTAATTACGGCGAATGGGCCCGAGCGAGGAAGCTGTTGGTGGAAAATCTCTTTCTCACAGCATTCCTCTGCAGATCAGGCTGGATAGAGATACGCAAGCCAGACGCTGCCTGAATGTATTAGGAAAATAAGTTAGCAGATGTTAAAGAGCAGAGGGGAGAGCACGTCTGTAGAGCTGCTGGTGGGCCGGATGAGGGAAGATAGCGTGGTCTGAAAATGTTGATAGCACGGTGAGAAAGAAAAGATGTGAGGGAGAGGTAAGTGGACAAGTTTCACACAAAAGCAGCTCCTTCTCTGGCGCGGCGCAGTGTCATTTACCGGCTCATTAGGAGGCTAATGCTTAAATGACTTAAGTTTACCCTCTAAAACAGGCGCCCGGGATATGTCTGGCATTCTGACCACCGGCCGTCCTCTCACACCTCTTTCCGTTCCTCGTTCTCCCTGAAGATTTTCACGTCGAGTTGACTGACTGTTTTCCTCACAGGAACGCCATTGGTCTGAATTAAACAACACCTCAGCCACGACTCGGCCACCTCTCACATTACACAGGGGGAGGTGGTCACATGCTGCGGTCGGACTGCACATGCCACCAGAGGAGAGGAGCAAGAACAGGCCAAGGGCGCCGCAGATCACCCCGCCAAGCTCATCTTACCTCCTGCCCACCATCATCCACACGCTGTGTGAACACTGGTGCTCCATTCACAACCTTGTAGGTTTAAAAGCGCGACTGCGTGAGATTAATCTGCGAGCTGAGAGTTATTAACCACCGAAACTTCTCGACCTGTAGTATGGATTTGTATTTTCTTTATCCAGGGAGCGCTCTGGCAGTGTCTGCGGAGCAAATGCGAACAGAGAACAGAGGGTCAACAGATCCCCCCCCAACAAGCACACACAAAGCCTCAACCTGCCTGGAAGCACATTTTCTACCCAGAAGAAATAGTCTGCAGCTGAGCAACCCACACAATGTACAATGCACAATGCAGAGCGACGGAGAGAGAAGCGCCAAGCCAAACACAGATTTCCAGCTGCCGGCTGTTGGTTAAAGCAAAGCCTCGGACTTTACATCCTGTGTTTGTGTGGATGTTGATGCAAGTGCATCCGCATCACACAGCAGGGCAGATTTAGAAAAAGGTCACGAGATCTGCCTCCTGCCTGTCTGTCTAATCCGCCAACGGCCGGGCCACCTCCTCCTTCAACTGGACACAACCTCACATGACCACATGCTTTTCTATGCGTCTACTCCCTCTTGTTTTGTTTTTTTAGTGTACTCCAAATGCTTGACAACAACAAAGAAAACCTGAAACACAAACGTGAATTTGACGCAGGTTTAAAAACAGACAGGCCGTCTGAGCATTTATCCCGGTTTAATATAGAAGTGAGAGGTCATCAAACACTTATGCAACGCTCTGCTGCTCTAAACAAGCCTCTGCGCCTCAAAATAGAGCTTCAGGATTGTTTTAAGGTGGCAAACAAAAACAACACAAAAATAGAGTCGCAAGGCAGAAAAACAGAGCTCAGGTATCCAGCCGTGAGCAGACAGGAGCACCAGGTGAACCCAGAGAGAATCCTGCTAATTGTTTTAAGCTTGTGTGTTTGTGGTGTGCTCCTGCCAGGCTTCGGCAAAATAATCCAGCTCCTGGGACACGCCGCTGCGCCTCTGAGGCCTCCGTCAGACGCTCTCAAAGCAACCATGACCTGCACAGACATGTTCCGAAGGGCCGGGAAACTGGGAGTGACCTGGAAATGATTTTCTCTGAAATCGGCCTCGTCTTGTTTGACACACAGGTCACAGCAGGATGTGGCATTAGACTGAGTCTGCCCTTTGAAAGCAAGAAAGAAAGAAAGAAAGAAAGAAAGAAAGAAAGAAAGAAAGAAAG